TTCTGCTCTGAATTTTCAAGAATTATATAGTTTCCAAATATGCATTTTATTTATGTTCGTGGAATCACTGTTAATTTTTTATTATATCATATCATACAAGTGATCACTTATTGCAAATAAGCCTTTATGCTTAATAAATGGTTACTTTTACAGAATTTAAGTGCTCTTCATGGCGCCCTCATGATGAATTTGGACATGTCCGTGATGTGTCATTTCAACATCCAATAAAATTATATTTTGGTATTAGTCTTCTTTTATGCCATCCTTTTGTCCTGGAATTATTATTCATGCTGAGATTAGCATCATTTCTTCTAATTGTTGTAATTGTCACAAAGATTTTTTTCTTTTGACTGATTGTGTACTGGTTTAAGTTTCAAGTCAGCTTAATGTTTGCCTTCTTTCAGTGTTAACGGCTTTTGTTTTGTTCAAGGTGCAAAATTTGGTAGCTGCCAGGAGGCCCAGAAATTTCGAATTTACAGAAACAGGTTGATTATATTTTGTGGTGCCTTATATGCTATTTATATTGTTGAAGATGCTGTTTATTTGTTATTCTTATTTCTCTGAAAGGATGCATCATTGGAATGGATTTTTTTTCTCTTGAAATGTTTGATAGTCCAAAACAACTTATAAAATAGTATATGAAATATTATTTCTCTGAAGGTGCGAGTATATTCCAAAACTAGAGCCATTAGTCTGTCTATAGTTTTAGTTAATGCCCAATATTATTGAAGTTGCAGTTGTTGATACACCGAATGATTAAAATATTGTTGTTTCTGGTTGTTATGCTAAAACCAAAATTTTGTCCTAGTATTTTTCTACCCTTTCATTTCACTAAGTAGTTTATTCTTCCATGCATTTAAACACAATGCTCAAACCGGGAATAGGCATCAACTTTTCATCTGTTGATTGGCCGCCTTGACTTTTTTTCCCTTTAGATGTTTTATATTCTTTTTATCCTTGTATAACAATATCACTTTTACTTTGGACAGTCATTTGGTTTTGGAGACATCACAAGAGATCAGTGATGTACCATATGGAGATTATTTCCGTGTAGAGGTACAAGCTAGACCGAATCTCCCTTAAACATGCTTTAATGTGTGAAGTGTTCTACTGCTCTCCATTCCCTAGTTTGTCACTTTTAGGCATAAATTATCCTGTTATTTCTTTAGAAGATTATGGGGTTAGAGTTTTCGGACAGGAAAATTGTACTCTAGCCCTTCAAATTGAGAACTCAAAAACAAAAAGCATGATGATGTGTTTACATCTTATTGGTCTACTTTTATGCAATATATATTGCAGACAAATCTGTGCATTGCATTTCAAGATGTTTAGGTTGGTAATCTTTCTTGATCCAACTCTTTTCTTGCCCCGGTATGGTCAAGGTGGTAAATTATATAATGGTATTAATTATATCGGAACTTGGCGTGTAAGATTTTGAGCTAATTTAAATGGGCATTTTTTTAAAAAAATAATCTGCTTTAGAATTCTTCATATTTGAGTATATTATATATTATGGAGAGTGGAAGAGAGGGTATATGAGCTCCGCTTTCTATGTTTGTGTTTATGTAACAATAAAACTTGTGAAGATGCTGAATGTGAACACTTCTAAGCCGTGGAAAAAGGTAGTCAACAACAGTTATGCTTTTAGTTGTTGTGAAAGATTCCTTGTTTTGTGCATAATCTGTTTCTGTTTTGTTTGTGACACTTTTAGCTCAGTCAAAAATGTGCTTGAAATCATCCTGTATTCAACAGGGGCTTTGGGATGTTGAAAGAGACTGTGATGGCCCACAAGAAGGCTGCGTTTTATGGGTTTATGTTAATGTGGCTTTTAGTAAGAGAACTGTTTGGAAAGGTTTGCCTCTGCTGAGTGATGATGAATCTCTTGTTTATGGGGTGTTTATATGGTTATGCATTTCTTGTCTCATATTTTATTTTCCAAGTTTCTATTGTTCTGACTCCAGTTATAAAGACTTGCATTTACATGTCTCATATTTTAATTGTCTGAAATTTTATTGCAGAAGTGCCAAAATGATATTTCCCTTTAGATTGAACTAGATTATTTATGGTTTGTGGTGGAAGGAATTATTTGACCGGAAATAGGGAAAGAATTTTCGGTAGTTGCAAAACATGTGTCACTTCTAGAATGTTTTGAACTTGTGAATTTGGCAGGCTTTTTGTTCTTAGAAGATGTGCTCCAAGTGATTTATTGCGTTCTTTTTCTTGAACAGCTTAAGTAGTGGACCTTTTGATTTTATATTAATGAATAATGATTATATTTCTTGTTCGTTTCCTCCATCTGATGCCATGCACATGGTACAGGGAAAATAGTGCAGTCTACTTTGGAAGAGTGTCGAGAAGCTTATGCTACATGGATAGACATGGTATTATATTTCTCCTGTATTTTTTGTTTATTTTTAAAGTTTGTTTGAACATTGATCAAAGATTTTTTTATCATTGATGTTTCAGGCACATGAATTGTTGAAGCAGAACACCAATAAACAAGGAGGTTTGAACTCTGAAAATCGGATTTTTTTTTTTTGAAGAATTTCAAGTAGTGAAGTTTATGATCTGGGCAAGTGATATGCAGATATCAGAATTACTGACCATAGCTCCTTTGTTTCAAAACAGGGGTAGATCCTTCTGGAAGCTCAACTGAAAATGGTGAAGTCCAAGTCGAAAGGCAAGTGTCTACCACGGAACCTTCAGAAAGATCTCATAATACAAGTGGTCCAGTAGGGACATTGCAGATGTCTGATTCTCAGGATGTAAACCAACAAATTGGGAATCTTTTGCAAGAAAGTTTGACTAGCGCTTCATCCATCGCGTCGTTGTTAAGAGAGTTTGTGAGTAAATCCTACTCATTCTTGAAACGCCAAGGCTATATTTCACTAGTCTTAGCCGTTGCCTTTGCTGTGATCTTCTTGATGCAGGTTCGTGGTTCCCATTTAACTTATTATCTTAGTTTTAATTCATCGGTTAAGTGATTTCTGTAGTTGCACTCCATAGCTTGTCCATTATAACATGTCAGTCGTACACAGATTTTATCATTCTCTCATCGTATTGTTGGATCCCTTATGACTCGCTTTCCTCTTTTTGGTTTCTAACTGCAGGTAAGCATTGTTCTGCTATTAAACCGACCACAACACTTACATGTGAGTTACCCAGTAGAGTACACGGGTAGCATGATGGGTGGCGGCGGTGGTAGAGAAAGCAGAGCTGAGGCATTGGCTTGGTTGGAGAAGCGGATGCATCACCTTAAAGAAGAGATGACAATGGTCGAAGCTCAGTTAGAGAGGATGCAACATGAGCATTCTGCTTTAAAAGCACTGTTAAAAGAGATGGAGTATCCTAAGAAGCATAATAGATAAAACCTTATTTGTATAGAGTTTTTTCACGGCGAAAAATTTCACATAATCAGTATATGTCTGTAATAGAAATCACGTGATAAACAGCTAGTGCTAATGAAGGACACGGGCATTGAAATTTAATGGCAATTATGTTTTTAATTTTTTGGGTCAAATTTAGGCTTTATTTTCAATCGTAGTTTTGTTTTTGATTCTTAGTTTCCCTCAAAAAAACTAGAAGATAATTTTCTCCCAGAGAAGGATGGTGTGTTCACCCTTACCTGCCATGAGATGAAGCCAAAATGTGGAAGGCTTTTAATTGCGTCTAATTATGTGAAGGAAGAAGAAAAATCTGGTGTAAAAGTTTGAATGTGAACAAAATCGGAGCTTGGAACTGAATTGACTTGAACAATACTTACTGTTAACGGGAAAATTGGCTCAATAGGTCAGATGGGTGAAAAAAATTAGCCATTAGACCATTTTAAAAATTAATTTGGGACATATGGCCAATGTTATAGTGTAGGGTAAACTCGTTAAGGCGAGTGAAAAAATTAGCTATTAGACCATTTCAAAAATTAATTTGGGACTTACGGAAAATGCTACAGGACAGGGTAAACTCATCACGTCCACATGACAAGTTTGCTTAAATGATATTCTTTTATTTAAACTAATCACGCCGAAGTGACGAGTTCTAATAAAATATATTTTTTATTAGATTTTGATGCAACATAGTGACAAGTTTTAATAAAAAATATTTTTTTATTAAAATTCATCAGGTGTCATATTCTAAGTCATTATAGCAAATGCAGCAGTTCTCAAAATAAAAAGAATATGGTGTCATATTAGGTTAAATAATTAACCCGTCTACATTATTGGGCCAAAATTGCCTCTTGTTAACTGATTCAAGCCCATATTTGAAGAGCGTATTGTATTTGATCATCCATTATCCAAATTTTAAAGGCCCATTTTAGTCCCCAAAACGAAATGACTGATGACCTGTGAACTTTTATGTATCGTCTCTCTCCGATTCAGTTTTCACTATTATCAGCCTCTCTCTCTCTCCCTTGCGTGTCGTCTCAATCTGTGATTTTTGGATTTTTCCCTCTTTATTTGCCTCCCTTGTTTCTATCTTCTCACCGCTGACTTTTTGGGTCAATCGGTGCTATATCTCAGTGGTCCAACGCCGAATTTTCATTCGGATTCCGGCGACCCCATTCTCTCTTCAACTCACTATGAATCCTGAATAGTATGTTCTCTCTTTATTTGTATGCCATGCTGTTCAGATTAAGCCTTAATCTATTTATTCGTTAAAAGGCCTAAATTTTGTGTGTATAGGTAATAGTCGGTGTTAAAAGTATAGTGGGACTCTGCTGGACAAGAACGGTTTAGGACACTGCTGGACAAGAACGTTAAAAGCCTCTCTTTATTTTTCCAGTTAGTTTACTGTTTGGTTGAATGTATAGTGGGACACTGCTGGACAAGAACGGTTTAGGACAATCACTAGTAGCTACTACCGTGGGGCTCATGGCATAATCGTGGGTGATCTTTTCATTTTCAACTCACTATGAATCCTGAATAGTATGTTCTCTCTTTATTTGTATGCCATGCTGTTCAGATTAAGCCTTAATCTATTTATTCGTTAAAAGGCCTAAATTTTGTGTGTATAGTAATAGTCGGTGTTAATAGTATAGTGGGACTCTGCTGGACAAGAACGGTTTAGGACACTGCTGGACAAGAACGTTAAAGGCCTCTCTTTATTTTTCCAGTTAGTTTACTGTTTGGTTGAATGTATAGTGGGACACTGCTGGACAAGAACGGTTTAGGACAATCACTAGTAGCTACTACCGTGGGGCTCATGGCATAATCGTGGGTGATCTTTTCATTTTCAACTCACTATGAATCCTGAATAGTATGTTCTCTCTTTATTTGTATGCCATGCTGTTCAGATTAAGCCTTAATCTATTTATTCGTTAAAAGGCCTAAATTTTGTGTGTATAGGTAATAGTCGGTGTTAAAAGTATAGTGGGACTCTGCTGGACAAGAACGGTTTAGGACACTGCTGGACAAGAACGTTAAAGGCCTCTCTTTATTTTTCCAGTTAGTTTACTGTTTGGTTGAATGTATAGTGGGACACTGCTGGACAAGAACGGTTTAGGACAATCACTAGTAGCTACTACCGTGGGGCTCATGGCATAATCGTGGGTGATCTTTTCATTTTCAACTCACTATGAATCCTGAATAGTATGTTCTCTCTTTATTTGTATGCCATGCTGTTCAGATTAAGCCTTAATCTATTTATTCGTTAAAAGGCCTAAATTTTGTGTGTATAGGTAATAGTCGGTGTTAAAAGTATAGTGGGACTCTGCTGGACAAGAACGGTTTAGGACACTGCTGGACAAGAACGTTAAAGGCCTCTCTTTATTTTTCCAGTTAGTTTACTGTTTGGTTGAATGTATAGTGGGACACTGCTGGACAAGAACGGTTTAGGACAATCACTAGTAGCTACTACCGTGGGGCTCATGGCATAATCGTGGGTGATCTTTTCATTTATAGTGTTTGTCCTTTTTTTTTGTAGTTTCATTTCTATTTATGATTGAAAAACTTTAAAATAAGAAAAGTTGTTTAAAAAAATATTTTATCGAAAAGAATTTACAGTGAAAGAATAGACCCTGTCGGCTGTATTATTATCTGTTTTGCGCCTAGGGTTTTGTACACTCTTTCTATATCCTTTTTTAACTTCATTTTGTTTGGTTTCATAATTTAAAATTCTAGTAGAAGTCCTGTTGGAATAAGGTTTTGTGGTTACTAGAAAAGAAAGATAATTTGGAGAAAAAGGGGTTTGGGGGGTGGTTAGTGTCGATTTTTCATTCGAAAAGAAATGAGTAGCTTGAACCCTTTTGATTTGTTGGGAGATGATGATACTGGGGAACTCTCGTTGCTGATCGCTGCTCAGCAAAAGGCTGTCGCAGCCGCCACCGTCACCTCCACAGCTGCTGCCCCAAAGAAAGGCCTGGCAAAGTCTCAAGCTAAGCCGCAGCCTCCTGCTCAGGCTAAGCTTCCCTCCAAGCCTCTCCCTCCTGCACAGGCTGGTAAGTTTTCTCTATGAAAGTTGCTCCCTTTTTTTCAGCTCTGTATCGGGTCTCGATTTTTATGGATTGTGTTAGGTTGAAGTTACCTCTGACGGGTTTTTTAGTGTGTTTAAGTTTATTATGCTTAGGTTTCGTTTTTGGTAAGTCAATGTTGGACTCCGGTTGTTAGAATACCAGTTGTGAGTCATTTTCTAGGTATATAACCATGGAAAGTTTCTTATCTTTATTCAATTATTTCTTAAGAATTAGCAGAGCAAAAGATTCTGAAAAGCATATTGGTTTGCTATTGCTGTCAAGGTGTACTCAACCTGCTGGAATCCTTATATTCCCTTAAAAGCTAAAAGTACTTTCCCGATAAGGCGCATTATGCATGTATATGTTTTTTATTTGTACATCTACATCTACATACATATATGTATAATATAAGCCTCTGATGTATGATAATGATAGTAAACTCCGAAGATTGATCCGCCTTATTATCATACAGAATGTGGACTATTATTATTTTTTGTTGGCTATGATCTCATGTCTGTTGTTGAATAGTCAAGCATTTGGGAGTACAGTGTTGATAGTATCCCTTTCTTCTTAATAAAGGTGCAATTAATGAAACAAACAAAAAAGGAAATTAAAAAGAAGTTCACTCAGATGCCTATCATCTTTTGAAAAAGTGCTAGCAGATGCATCACCTAATGTGCAAGAGGTCCTGAGGGATTTTTGTAGTTTGATGCTAAGGCACAACACCTAAAGTGCATGCCTTAACCATACAAATGAAATCCGAAGGCAGCGGGGAACCTTTGCTTTTATATTATTTGAAAGTGTAAATTGACATTCCATCAGTCCTGTGTTTTGTTTACAAAGTGTTTATGCTTTCAAGGAATGCTGATAATGATAGATTCAATCTCATCTCATGGTTATTCCAGTTACTCAACATGGAATTATAAGTTATAACTAATATTCTAATAGTCAATTATAGTTCTCCTCTATAGTATAAACCATGCATGGCTGAAAGTTCAGTTTTTGAAGATTTCCTGTTCTGTTTCTTGAGCTGTGTTCAAATCGATGCTATTAGATTTCTTGGGCTTATCGTTGATGTCTGTGCGTTTTCTTCTTCATTTTAAGTGAGGGAGGCAAAGAATGAAGGTACTCGTGGTGGAGGCCGTGGTGGACATGGATATGGCCATGGGCGTGGTGGTGGATATAAACGCGATATTTCTAATGATGAGAATTCGTTCAGCAACAGTGTTGTACCTGAAGATGGAGAGACTGGAAAACCCTCTGAAAGGCGTGGCTATGGGGGTCCTAGACCTTATCGTGGTGGTCGCCGTGGTGGTTTCAATAAGGGCGAGGCTGCAGATGGGGAGCGACCTCACAGGTTGTATGAACGCCATAGTGGGACTGGATGCGGGTAAAACAACTTTTGGTTGACACTGGCGTTGATATATTCTGCATATCAGTTTTTTAGCCGAGTCCATAAACTGATGGGTTTTTCTTTTTGTTCATGTCTGCAGAAATGAACTCAAACGGGAAGGCTCTGGTCGTGGAAATTGGGGAACTCAGACTGATGAATTTACTCAGTAAGTTATTTTTAGCGGTTACATATCACTTATTAGTTTCATTCTTCATTCCTCATTGTAATCATAAAATGAAATGACTGCATTGTATTTTTGTTGTTCAGGGTGACTGAAGAAGTTGCCAACGAAGGAGAGAGGAATTTAGGTGATGAAAAGCAAGCAAAAGAGGACGAGGCGGGTGATGCTACAAACGAACCTGGAGAAAAAGAGCCCGAGCCTGAGGACAAGGTAAATGGTTATTTGACGTCTGCAACCTTTGTTAATTATATATGAAAGCTACTAATTTGGCTATTCTTTGAGCCATTCTTTATTTTATGTTTTTATAGGAAATGACTCTTGAGGAGTATGAGAAGGTGCTGGAAGAGAAGAGGAAGGCTCTGCTGGCTCTAAAGACCGAGGAAAGGAAAGTAGATGACAAGGAGTTCGACTCTATGCAGCAGCTTTCAAATAAGAAGAGTAATGATGAGGTCTTCATCAAATTGGTATGACCTTTTGAGAAATCCATCATTAATGACCATACCATATTTTTGGAAAACATTTCTTAATTCCTTATAATTGCCTTCTACAGGGATCTGATAAAGATAAGAGAAAAGAGGCTTATGAGAAGGAAGAGAGAGCAAAAAAGGTATGTTTACTTCTTTCTGTTGACCTATGTTATAACTTGCTTTCTTTTTCCAGTTTCTCCGAGAGACTGCTGGAATTATTTGGTCCGCGATACATTTCTACATCTTAATTGTGCAAATATTCTAAATCAAACTTCCTTGATTTAAGATTTCCTGGTAGTCTTTCTCTTCCATGATTATAAAGCATTTGCACATGTTTTCCTTTCTCTTTTTACTGTTTTGCAAATTTATCCGTAGTTTGCATAATGTCCTTCTGGCATGTACTGATGGTCCATATCCGTATGGTGGTTGTAGTCTGTCAGCATTAATGAATTTCTGAAGCCGGCTGAAGGGGAGAGGTACTATAATCCAAGTGGAAGAGGGCGTGGCCGTGGACGTGGTTCAAGAGGGTTCGGTTGTGACGGTGAAATAAGAAATGTGGGAACACCATCCCTCGAAGACCATGGGCAGTTCCCAATCTTGGGGGGCAAGTGAGATTTCTATTTCTTTGGAACCCCAATCGTGAACTGCATACTTATGTTCTGGAATAGACGGAACTATTTTGCAACTTGTTTTCTTCCAAAAACGATGACCATTGTTGTTCCCTTTTATCTGGAATCAGAGATGCATAGCAGCAGCAACGATTCCTATCATTAATCTCTTTCTTCCTCATTGATGCTCGATCCGTACTTCCACAGTTCGTTGTCTCGACTCTTATGAAGCCGAATCGCCAAAGGCTTTTAATACCTTTAGATTATCTTGGGATGGTAAGGGGCTGCTTGATATTCAAGCAGCAACATCTGAGTTTGGAATTGATTATGATTGAATTTACTTAAAAAAAAATCAGTTTTGTTAACAAATGCAAACCCATGTTTCATTTCAGGGGAACCACAAGAGAGTATTTGATTGTCATTGATAAAATTGATTTCAGTGACACAAACAAATGTAAATCCGTTTTTTTTTTGAATTAATCACTAGTATTTGATCTATTAACCTATTTATCTAGATAGAATATTGCAAAAGCGAGGGAGATGCTCTCAACCCAATTTACTCCATTTGCAAGTATTGGGATTCGAATCTCTAACATTGCTTAAGAAATCTAGTGTTTCATCCTTGAGTTTAGTTAAAAACAGTTGTTTTAGTAAATATGATCCTTGCTCCAAGGGCTCACATTTCGTTTATATCGTGGAGGGGTTTGGTCTAGGGGTACTTATCGAACGAGTCGATAGCGAGTAAGGTAATGCTCGACTCGTGCTCGTTAAAAGATTTTGTTGTTCAACTTGTGCTCATTAAAAAAACTTGTTGTTCGATTTGTGCTCGTTAAGCTCGTTACTCACCTCGTTGCTTATCTCGTTACTCGTAAAGCTTACCAAAATTTTTATCTTATTTTTTTTAATTATATGTAAAATCTATTAATACTATATAAAGCTTAATATAAACGTAAATTGATAAATTTAACAAAAAAAAGTTATCAAAAGAGTGTATAAAACAAATTCAAAATCTAAACTCCAAAATAAAAATTCACAAATATATTAAAACAATACTTAGGGTTTAGTTTTTGTGTGTAGTAAAATAATAATTATTAATTAATATTTTAATATTTTTATTAGAAAATTAATAGATTATTCATTTATCATCTATTAGCAAATTAATGAAATATTTTTTAAGATGACTAGTAAAAAATTATAAAAAAAATAATGAGATGCTCGCGAACTTATCGAGTCGAGTTGGACTTTGCTCGACTCAACTTGTTAAGGTCTCAAACCGAGTTCGAGTTCGAATTGAGTCAGCCCAAATCAAACTTCTATCGAATTTTGATCGAGTCAAATTCGAACAGCTCACGAGCTGCTCAACTTATTAAGCACCCTTAGTTTGATCAACATAAATCTGATTCATCATCCGAATTTAAAGGGCCTATTTTAAGTGATTAATTATGGGATTATGATAGATTTTATATTTTATTTTAATTAAATATGGTATCTATAGTTTTAAAATGTCCAATATAATATATACTCTATCAAAATATTTGGTATGATTATTTTCTTTGTTAAGATGTCTAATATGATAATATATTTTTAAAATGTAAAATATATAATATATTATTTGAGCTATTTAGATTATAATAAGTGTGCTGTTTTTGAATCTTTATTATGTATATTATTATGGTATTTTTATCTCAAAAATATTTTAATAAAATTAGGCAAATAATACAAATGAAATAATTAATTAGTAAAATAACACAAACATAATATTTTAACGTTTTTGTCACATATGCTTGATGAATTTTACGTACACTGTAACAAATGACTTAAATTTCAAAATAAATTTAAGGGGCCCTATTTTACTAATTAGTTATTTCACGTGTATTATTTCCTTAATTTTGCCACATTATTTTATATTATTTTGTTTTAAAGTAAAATGTTAAATCAAAATACCCTAAAAATATAAAATAAATGAATATTTAACTAAATGCTAAAAATAGTTTTTAATAGGATAAATTATGCCTTTCGTATTTAGACTATTAGTTTTAATTTATTTTAGTACTTAAATTTTCAATTTTTTTTAAAATCATACATAACATTTAGTTTTTGTTTCATTTTAATACTTTTTCCGTTAAAAACTTAACGCATTCAATAACTAAACTATCGGTTTTGGTCCGTTTTAATACCTTAAAATGATAACGAGGTAAGAAAAAGAATTGACATCATGTGCTCAAACTGGGGTCTTTTTTCAGGCCCAGGTCCACTACCAAACCCGACTCAAAATCCAGTCAACCAACTATACAAAATTTTTCACGAATCTAACAGAGTACATTCTCCCTTACTCCTTGATTAAATACTCACCTCTCTTTTCCTAAACATCTCAACTACTCATGCTGATTATGGGTGAGTATTGTTCTCTTTTTGAGGTCTATAATTCGAAATGTTATGTCTATAAAGTATATATTAGCTGACTATATTCTCATATGTAATGGGATAAGGGGGAGGTAGGATAGTAAGATGGCCCCCAAAGTCAGAGCAGCTTTCGTGGGAGACCTCCAGTATGAATTGCCTACCGTGGGACTCGATCCCACGACCACAAGATTAAGAGCCTCGCGCTCTACCAATTGTGCTATATAAAGTATATGTGTTATTAATAATAGCTTGCCGGTCCGCATTAACGTTGTAAATTCTTTAGAATTATAGTGGGCAAGGTAGAAAATCGGCCGAACCCACAGCCCACCATCATTGACATTGCTCAAAGTAACCGTGACGGCAAATTTGCTAACAAAATACATTTAAAAGTTTAAATTACCAAATAATTATTGATGGATTAATACATAGAAAGTTATTAGGAGTATGTGTTTAAATTCTAAACAATGGTTTTTATTTATTTTATTTGAAAATAAGTACTAATTTATAATCACTCTAAATTATTTTACAAAAATCATATCAATTTATTAAGTTGAAAAAACTTTTTTTTAACATTTTCAATATTGGAAAAAAAATTAAGAGGAAAAAGTTTATAATAATATATTTTATTATTTTTTATTTTAGAATTTTTAACTAAATAAAATTTTTATTGTTTTAAAAAAATAATAATATAAAAAGTAGTTTGTGAATGTTTATGAAATTGTATTTGACCTAAAATTATGTTTGAAATGTAAAAATATTCTCAAACAATTCATTTTCAACTAAAAATTTATTTTTTTCAAAAACTCAAATCAAGAAGCTAGAAAAATGATGCTTTTATGTTGAAAAAACACGTTTGGAGAAGCATTTTAAAAAAGCTTTATAATAATTTTCATTTTATTTTAAAATAATATTTTATTTTTATAATTTAATTTTAAAAATATAAATATTTTAATAAACAATACTCTCATTTTGGCCTACAATAAATAATATTATTTTAAAACATTATTTTCACATATGACGCGAGATTATAGTTAAAATTAAAATGATGTAAAAAAAAGGGGGTAATCTGGTAAATGCTCACATCAGCACTTTGAGACAAAAATACCCCGAATCTAGGGTTTAGGGATGTGGATATTCTATTGCAAGCGCCGTTGAACTAGGGTTGCGGCCGCGTAGCACGATCCTATATAAACCCCTTAAACTCTCTTCTTTATCGCATAAGCATTGAGCACCGAGGCGGCCATCATTGAGTCGGAAAAGAAAGAGAAGATATGGAGCAAACATTCATCATGATCAAGCCTGATGGCGTCCAAAGGGGTTTGGTAAATACTTCTACTTCCGCTCTTTCAGTTTTTATTTCTTTCATCTTTACTTTCGAAAAAAAAATATTTGTTCTCTAACTTTATCCGATTGTTTGAATTCCTTCAACTGCTACAAATTAAGAAAAGGAAAGATAATACCCCCGGTGTCTGATTTTTTATTTTTCTAAGTAGGACAACTCATTTTCGATTTTCAGCTGCGTGGAAATTAATGAACTTGTTAAGTTCGTAGATCTCTTGGCTAATCTTCTGTACTGGGTAGCATACGAATGCTGTTTTAGTTTTATTTCAAACTTTTTTGCATGTTAAGGCCATGGAATCAAGAACCCTGAGAAATGAATTCCTGAACTATGAAAAATTCACCTGTTTTTCTATTGTAGCATGTTAATTGTTCGACTGTTGGTTAAACAGTGAGATAAACCGTATTTCTTATCAGGATTATTATGCATTTCAGGTTGGTGAGATCATTGGCAGATTTGAGAAGAAAGGCTTCTATTTGAAAGGTAAAACAATCAACTTTCTGATAATTTCCTTTGTTTTTCTTTGTGTTGATTCCCGAGTATTGTTATAATTGATTCTAAAGTACCTTGGAGATTATTGAATGTTCACAACAACACTTCAGTAACATACAAAATCGATGCTTTTCTCTCTCTGTATTGAAATTATTAGAACTATATGCTTTTGGGTGGAATGTTACTTATTTCACTTTGGATCTGCGTAATTTAGGCTTGAAACTCATCACTGTGGATCAATCGTTTGCTGAGAAGCACTATGCAGACCTTTCTGCAAAGCCCTTTTTTAATGGACTTGTGGAGTATATTATCTCTGGTCCCGTTGTTGCCATGATTTGGGAGGGTAAGAATGTTGTTACCACGGGTCGCAAGATTATCGGAGCCACAAACCCTGCTGAGTCTGCTCCTGGAACAATCCGTGGTGACTTTGCAATCGACATTGGCAGGTATTGATAGTTCTTTTATCCTTCCATTTATCAGAATGCTTCTTCTGTTTTGTTATTTACCCTTGATGTGACTATAATTCATGTCAATCCGTTGGTTTTGGTCATCTTTTTTTTTTCCAGGAATGTGATTCATGGAAGTGATTCAGTCGAGAGCGCAAGGAAGGAAATTGCATTGTGGTTCCCAGAAAGCCCTGTTAACTGGCAGAGCAGTGCCCACCCCTGGATCTATGAGTAGATTTTTAGACTAACCGTTGCAGATCATGGTATCATCATGCTTGCCTCTTGTTAGCAAACCTTTTTATGAACTTTTTACCAAGTTGATTATCTTTGGTTATCATATAAGATGGTATTGTTGTGCTCTAGCAGTAACATGATTGAATTGAATTCGGTTTGTATGAATAGAATTTCACTTGGTGACATGTTTGAATTTTATGGTTAGTGGCTTCTATATGTTTGTGGCAGTTCACCTCGAGATTTATGCAACTTATTTGTAAAGAAAAGGGTGGTTCACTCGATTCATTCACCGGATATTTTAGGGTCATGCCGGCTCGATAAATGTTGAGTTTTGATCTTTGCTCGTGCAAGGTGTTAGAGTATTAGAAGTGGGGCAGTGGTTTTATTGCTTTCTTTTCTCTCAATGATTTCTTGTTCTTGACCTTGATCATTTCCCATGGGTTCATAAGATTTAATCTATTTGTGGAGTGTTAGCCGCCAATATGTCCTAAAAGGATCAAGCTATTAAGATTGTGTGGTTTCCATCCTTACTAAAAGGCTTAAACTAAAAAAAGTCCCTAAACTATACTCCTTTTTGCTCTAAGTCCATAAACTATTTTTTTTATCAAAATTAGTCCTTAAATTATTATATGTAACCACTTTAAGTAAGGGTGTAAATGAAACGAGATTGATCGTGAGTTAAGTGAGATCAACTCGTTCAAAGCTTGCTAAATGCTCTACTTGAATGGACTCGACTTGAACTCGAGCTTGATTCGAGTTTTTAACGAGCCGAAACGAGCTTCAATTCATGATTTCAAGTTGAGCTATTACGAGTTAAGTTTAAGACTTTAAGGATTTAAAGTGAACAAATAATAGTTTAGGAGCATAAAGTAAAAAGATTGTATAATTTAGGCTTAATACTAAAATAAATACTTAAATTATAACGTTTTTTACGAATAGATGTTTAATTATTTTTTGACTCATACATGTTATCGTTACAAATATTACTACCTTGGGTATCTCATAAAATTTTGTTACGTAACACGTTATAATCTTAAAATCTTGAAATTTTTATTTTTCTTAAAATATTTAAAAAATAGAAACAACCCCGTGCATTCCCCTCTCCCTCCCCTTTTGTGATTTCAGTTTCATCTTTTTGGAATGATTTGTTCTCATTTTGAAGTTTATTTTCTTGGATTAAATATGTTTTTGTTCTTACCACTTTGATCTATAGATCTTATCAAGCTGAGTTCAAATAGTGGCTTTCGTTCTTAGCACTTCAATCTATACATCTTCTTGAGCCGAGTTCGAATATTTGTGGTTTCTAAATTTAGAGTATGGTACTCGATTTGGGTATGATTAAACATCAATTTTTAAGTTTCGGGATCAACTCAAGCTGTAATTGAGTGCTCTAAGCTTGTGTTAGATTAAATATGTTTATCAATATTTATAGTAAAGCTCAAAGCCGATCTCTATGTCAACAAACCCCACTTTCCCCCTCCCCTTCTCCTCCACCCCCGCCTTTATCTCCCCCTTTTCCTCCCTCCCACCTCCAACTCCCCCTTTTCTGATCCTTCGCCAAAGCGCACGTTGATCTTATTTTTATCTTAACCTAATCGGAAGTCTTGAGATTTTTTTAAATCCATGTCGAATTCGTCTTCTCCCTCTCCTGACCAGGGTCTGCAATCAAACGCATCGCCTTCACCGCCGCCTGAAGTATTGTGGTCTCTCCCGGCGCCTCCACCATCCAGATCTACTCTGGCGGAGACTGCCGCCGTCACTCCCAACCCGAGGCGGCTCCCGCCACCTTGTTGGTCGTACGATGAAACCGTTGCATTGATCGATGCCTACCGCGACAAATGGTACACGCTACGCCGTGGGAATCTCAAGGCCAGCCACTGGCAAGAAGTGACGGAAATCTAATTACAACTCGGATAGTCCGGATGATGAAAACGGTGAAGACGAAGAAGATGGTCAGGAACAAGAATTTTACGACGATGTGTATAAGAACGGAACCCTAAACACGAGAAGCGTGCAAAAATTGTACAGGAATGGGGTTGGAAAAAACGGTGGGAGTGTCAGCGGCAGTGGAGGCGGTGAGGGTAATAGCGGTGGGTTTAGGATTAAGATCCCAACTGGAGTTAGTATAGCACAGCCAGGGCCAAGATATTATGGGAAAATAGATCAGAAGTACGCTGCAAACCCTAATCCCAACCCTAGCCTTAACACGAATTCTCACACTAGTAAGGTTAATTTTGGTGGATCGGGTTCCAGATCAGCTTACGGGACTAGGATTTTAAGAGGGTTTGATGATATGCCTGAGAAAATGGCAGTCTCAGGGAAGAGGGAGAGGGAGAAAGATGCAGTTACTGAGATGGTGTCAGCTATAAAGGTCTTGGGAGATGGGTTTGTAAGGATGGGGCAAATGAAGATGGAAATGGCTAGGGAGATCGAGACGATGCAGATGGAGATGAAGAGAACCGAGGTGATATTGGAGTCGCAGCAGAGAATTGTGGAAGCTTTCGCCAAGGCGGTTTCGGAGAGGAAGAAGGAGCCTAAAAGAATGGCCTCACCTCAGTCTTGATGAATAGTGTTTTCTACCCTTTTGACTACGGACTTGCAAGTTCAAGTTGGTGGAATGTTTACGGTTTTACTTAAATTTCCTGTTTCTTTGTTGATTATTGAGTGATAGGATTACTGTCCAATCTGATCTGCTGTAGCTTTTACATCTTCTTGTGGAACTAATGTAGCTTTTTTGTACTAAACTTTGCACCTAATTATAGTTTTTGTGATTGTAATCTTCATTTAGGCATAAGAACATTGGTCATTTGATTACTCGGTGCATTTTGTTCTTTGATTGCTGTGCTCTGCCATCAAGATCAAATCTTGTAGATGACATGGGAACTTTTTATCTTCAACAAAGCGCTTGGTCTAGGTTTAGGAATCAGCTGGAGGAAATGTGATCAAATTTCATTTTGGGATCAAGAAAGTTGTTCCCAGTTGTTAATAGTCACCGAAGCAGGTGTTTCGGCTTGTATGCATCATTCATTAAACAGCCAATAGGTTACATGGTAGAGTCATTTCATTTTCATAGTGTTATTTAAAACCATTGTGGAACACAATTTTGGTATTGCTTTGTGGATGGCATCAGTATTGGTGGAAGATCAAAGTCTGATGATTCTCTTTCACATTTGCTAAAAGCTTAGTTCTGGAAATAGAGAGATAGATTCATTGAATATCATAAGAAGCCGATTTACAGAACCCAAATTGTTGAAGATATTAGTACATCCCAAATGTGGTTTTCACACTCGATAAAACCAACATAAAAGAATGTAATTAACAAGATGGAGAATGCACATAAGAGGAGAATCAACTTCACACTGCTTTTGCACTTGGAATTTGTTTAGAGAACACGGCATATACTTGCTCTCTTCTTCTGTTTCCTTTGCTTCGCAGGCTGAAAAACCACCTTGATAGCAGCGTCGAATACAGCTTTAACATTCTGCAATTTCCATCACACACACCTAAATGTTAAATGAATGTAAACGTAAAGCAAGAAGATATCATGGAAGCGTTTATAACGGATTGATATTAGAACCTGTTGTGTCTTTGAGCTGCACTCTATGTATGCCACTGCTCCTATTTGCTTCTTTAGTTCAAGACCCTGACATCAAAAGTTAAGATATTGAATACTGGGCTGCAATACAAGTTTAAGATAAGCTATCTGCTACCTCACATGGATTCTTACTCTACATCTTGCTCACTAAATGATGATAAAAATAAGGTTGTGAAACAATGGACTGAACTTTCATTAAAATGTTGGAACCCATCCACTGATTTACGGCCAATACACAGGTTTTATCATTGTCTGTTGCATGTAGCAACCAACGGTGCTACAGACAATAAGAGAATGAAGAGGTACCTGTTCGGTAGAAATAGTACACGCCGCAGGGTAATCCAAGTGGAATTGTCTGTCGTCTCTTAGATCTGCACCGTAATTAAATTTATTAACAGGAGAAGAGCATGCAAACCTTGTCCATGCGTGATAAATATTCAAATGGAGCTTGTAGCTGGAAAATCAAGCGCAATTGAAACCCGGCCACTTGTGTAACTATGTGCATTGATTTCTTTTGTTGCATTTTGTTTATGCTGTTCATATCCAATTACTCGAGAACACACATTGGATTACGATGATGACTTTACGGAGGAAACAAATGGTTGAAAAGAAACAAAAGAAGCCATTTCTATGAATGTAAGAAGTGGAGAAAAGAACAGGACAGAGAGCTTCATGATCTTCAGCTCTAGTTTCTTTTACAGACATCGCTTAATTATTCGGAGCATCTTGAATCTTGATTGATAAGTAATGACATGGATATGGAAGCATCCATTTTCATAAGCGATACAACGAGGAGGAGAGAATCCATCACCTAGTTTGGTTCCCACAAGAACAATGGGCACCGCCCGGGCATAGTGTCTCAGCTCTGGCACCCACTTCTCGAACAAGACCAAGGATCATAAAAGACATGTAAAGGAATCAGAAAACTAGCAGCAAACACATTTCATAAGCCAAGCATAAGGCAAAGAGAACTCCATCAGTATTCAAACTTAAAATAAGTAATGAGATAAAGGAACATACTTTTTTGGATACGTTCTCATAGCTAGGCCTACTTATGAGGGAGAAAGCCAGAAGAAACACGTCGGCTCCTCTGTAACTTAGAGGTCTTAATCTGTTATAGTCTTCCTGACCTAAACATATTATATACAAAATCAACATTATGAAATCCGCTCTGTCCTACATATAAATCAAGTCGCTAAATGAATTTAACTACAAAGTCCACTATTCATTTCATGATGCATGCTTTCACTAATAATTAACATCAAACGGCCATTGAAACATCTTGAACAAGATAAGTACGGATGTAAAAAAAAACGATTTCATGATCCATTGGTGTGTTATAAATTTCGATGTGTATGAAACAACAACAAAAACAAGTTTTTGTTTCAAAGTAGAGCCAAATCGGCCTTATATCTTTTGGCAATTTCAAATTTTGAAACAGCTGGACTAGCATCATTAAGCACACCACAATGGACAATTAGAACTACGGAATTTAGTATGAGAGAAGCAAAGAAGAATATACCAGCAGTATCCCAGAGACCCAAATTGACAGTCTGCCCATCAACCATTACATTGGCGCTAAAGTTATCAAAAACAGTAGGAACATAATCCTGTGAATCATAACACAAGTACCCCAAAACCCCATCACTACAATTTAACAAACAGATTCAGTGCAGAGGAAACAAAAAGAGAGATGAATAATGCAGGGATCAGATTCTCAGAAGATAAAGAAGAGAATGTCATAACACACAGTTGGAAAAGTGTTGCTTGTATAAGATATAAGGAGACAAGTCTTTCCCACAGCTCCATCCCCAACTGTCACGCATTTTATGAATTTTGTTTGCGTTGTAGCAGCTGCCGCCGCCGCTGTTGAAGCTGTTGCAGTACTCATTGTATGAACATAAAACTTGAACTCTAATCAAGCCTGAGTGGTTTCTGGGTTTCTTTTATTCTCCTTTTTCTGCGCCATGATTTGATCAAATGTTAAAATATAGGAGGAGAGAGTCAAGAAAAGTAACAAAAGTGTCTATGAGCTTTCTGAGGAAAGAAAAATAAAGTAAAAATGGTGGATCACTTTAATTTGAGCTGTCAGAGAGGCAAAAGGAGAAAAAAGAAGGCAAAACAAATACTCCAATGTCTAATTTGCTTTCATTTCCACGCGATTTTCGGTTCATGTGAACGTTGGCTCCATTGAATTGATTCCACTTTTGTTTCTTCTTCCTTGTTGTTCATCATACTGGAATTTAGATCTCACCTGTAACACTGATTAGTGTTAAGCACGAGAAGCGACAGCGCGTGGCTCTCTAGAGCTTAAAGATGATAGTGGAATAATTGTCGAGTTTGGACCAACTAAAGGTCAACTTTATGGAATAAACATAAACATTAAAACACTCAATGACGATCGTCACGCGCTTAAACGATTGAAGTTTTTTATAAAACCGGAGAGAATATAATGAGCTATTCGAGTTTAATTTGATTAAAATATATTCAATTCAAGTTTGAATTTAACTTAAAATTTTTAATAAATTAAAACGGATTACTTTAAACCCGGCTCGAAAAACTTATGAATAACTCGAAAAATATAGTGTATTACATTTTTAGTTTTTTGAATTAAATTATTAATAATATTAACATTTATATGTTGTTTGTTAAATGTAATACAAGGTTTTTATATTTAAGGTTTACATTCGACTTCTAGCTTCAATCGAACTAAGTATGTGAATATTTCGAATATAAGATTTTTTGAGCTCGAGTCGAACTTTCATTTTTTATTTTGAGTCTGACTCGAGTTTAATAGTTTTAAGCTCGTAAATTTCGAATTGAGTCAACTTTAGATTTGAATTTTTCTTGTTGAGGATTCGATTTATTTACGACCCTAACTCTTTAGATTTTATCATGAGTTCAACATTTTTTTATTAAACTAAAATAATTATAAAGTAATATTTATTTTAAATACTCTCAACTATTCGATAATAAATATTCAATCACTTTATTATAATTATTGATACTCGAACTCATAATATATATCAACAATTTTAGTTTTGCTTTTTTGAAGAATCCTTTATATATATATATATATATATATTTGCTATTAATAAAAGAAATAAAAGCTGTTTCTTTTTGTTAAAGGTTTCCATTAGATTTATTGACTTTGTGCGCCGCACATGCTACTTTCTTCTCCAACCTCTATTTCCTAATCTATTTATCCAGTTACTGACTTACTGTGGAAGTGAAGACTTTTTTTACCGAGAGTGACGACAGCCTTTGCATAACATGACATAAACAAGACATGTCGCATAGTGTTCCCTTGCCATTCAATATCTTTTAATTAAGTTTATGCAATTATAAAATAATATATATTTCAAATATTTTTAATTATTAACAACAAACATTCAATTATTCTCATAGTCGTTATCACTCATACATATAATTTTTAAAAATAATAATAATTCTTTTAATTATCGAGTAAATTTTTTAGCTCTTTGTACATTTCCCTTTAAATAAACAGAAATCCACCAACACTAATAAAATATACTCTCAATCATTATGAAGTATTAACTCACAAGCATGCTAATCCTTGATTTATGCGTGGTGTATTTGTTTAGTCATTACTAAGTTTGTTTAATCACAGTAGTATATGTTCTAAATACTCTCAATCATTTGGCAATGAACGTTTAATCACTTTGCTGTAGTTGTTGATGCTCGAATATGTGACCTCTAGGAACAACAACGATTCTTTTAACCACTTAGTTAAATTAGTTCGCTTAATGTTTGTTTTGATTTTTTTTTCAAGATTTCGATTTTCGTACAATGTTTAGAATTACTTTTTAAGATTATAAGTTAAATTCAATATATTTTTAGTGTAACCCTTTTTAGTTAAACTCTTACAATGATGACTATCCATACAAGTGGTTCTATATACGTTGTGTAGCATTTTAAGCCACATTTTACAAAAAGTTAGTGATTTGTATAAATTATATTAAACATGCTTTATCTACTATGTTTTTATTTACGAAGTTCTTATTATGTTTTGACGATATTCACGTTAAGTAATAAACACGACGGACGCAAGATTTTATGTTGGGATGAACTTGAATTTTTAAAATTTTAGGGGACAAACTTAAACTTATAAAATTTTAGGGGAGGCGAAAACATATTTTCAATAGAAACACATATAGAAAAATCTAAAATATATAGTAATTTTATATTTTTAAGGGGACGACTGCCCCACCCATCCCCGCTTGGATCCATCTCTGATAGTACGTGTTTGAGTCGTGTCATACTTTATAGAAAAATAGGTTTAGTTTTGTTTATAATACTAGGTATACTTGTGAAGTCATTATGATCTTTATATGTCTTAAATTTTATTTTGGCATTTTTTAATTGTAGTTGATGATTGTTAATGTTTGAGGCATGTTTGTAATGAATTAGAACATTTTAAAAGTTTCTTTATAATTTGATTTGATGATTATGATATCCACATTACTCAATTGATATTGATACTAATCAAAGAGTATCGGTACTTTAAGCAAGTTTTAAAAGATAATATGTTATTTTGGTATTCATACTGTTAACGAGTATCTGTATTATTCTTTTAGTATCGATATCAGTTGTTTGGTATTGATACCGACAATTTGAAATTGTAAAATTATTTTAAAGCTATTTTACTTTGATATGCTTTGCAATGTGACCTCTATGATTGTATGAATTGCAATTCAGTCCTTTGTTTATGAATCGCCGTGAACCATCCTCTCCCCAGTTCAATTCAATGAATGTCTTGAAAATGGCCCCTTGGAGCATGGCCAATGCTATACTTAATTTCCTAGCAGAGGTTTTCGTTTTCAATTCATTTTCTTTTGGCCAAAAAAAGAATCTTGTAAGTGGCACATGCATTATTTAATAACAATCTAGAGGTTAAGCTTGGTTCTCTATGGGGCCTGAGACTTGAGCCTGTCCATGGGAATCCAATAAATTAAAATGAAAACAAAATATCCTAAAACAAGAACTGGATAATAAGAAATCCTTGTTCTGTCTCTCTCTGTATCCCCCCATATTGTCTCCCTTTCCATCTTCATCCACTCTTCCTTCAACCACGAACCTGTTTTTGTTTTTTTGTTCACAAATAGAAGCCGTTTATGCGCCATCCCACCCTGCAAAAACCCTTATTTTCTAATTTCTGGGGATTCTTTTCGGTCTTACATTCATCCAAAAAAGCTTCAATCTTTGTCCCGGCGTTGATATAGGGAAAAAAGTCGGGAGCTTTTGGAATTTGGGGTTCTGGAAATATTATGCATGATAATAACGAGCGAGGAGGAGGGGGAGGACCGTTGGATCGGAAGCGCGTAAACGATGCCCTCGACAAGCATCTAGACAAGTCTACCCCATCCACTTCGAGGGGATTAAGGAATGGCAAAGACAAAGGCGGACACTCTGTTCCTTCAACTTCCGCCGGTAGATCCCACCTTTCTCATCGCGAGTCGCGTTCCAAAGCCGATGGTCAGTTACTTTTCAGTCACTTTCCTTTGTTTCTGTTCCGTCGAATGCATTGGCTTGTTCAATTTGATATGATAGGATAATGACGTTTAGATATATCTGTATTTCCATGTTTGGAAGTTTGAAAATTTTGTATGTTACACCCTTCCATTGAAGTTTTATGTTATCTTTGCTTTATTTGATATAAAAAATTTCAAGTTTTACTTGCCATGTTTAGCTAGGATGTTTTTTTTTCCCATTTATATGGTAAATCTTACATTTGTTTTTCTTATGATGTTTCTATTGAGAAACTCGTATCATTAGTCATTATTGATAGAAACAGGTAGCATAAAATGTGATGTTCTTTTCTATTACTTGTTAATTCCTGCCCTTGATTGCAGAGGAATCTGAAACTGACAGCGAAGAGTCCGATATCAGTGCTTCCGATGGTGATGACGTGTCTTGGATCTCGTGGTTTTGTGGTTTGCGAGGCAATGAGTTTTTTTGTGAAGTTGATGAAGAATACATCCAAGATGACTTTAATCTTTGCGGGTTGAGCGGTCAAGTTCCATATTATGAATACGCTCTTGATTTGATGTTGAATGTTGAATCTTCACATAGTAAGCATTTCACTGACTTTTTTGTGTATAAATTTTGGATGATTTGATATCTATTTGAGGAGTTGCTATTGAATTCCGAAACTTAGGCCGATGTTTGGTAGATGTTTTTGCCTCCTACGCCCATAAATCTTCTCTTTGGTGAGGGGTTAAAGTTCGATAGTTTTTGCTTTTGGACCTTCATGAGGATTCTGGCCTGGAAAGAATTTAGAAGAGTAGATAAAAAAATTATGGGAGATAAGGTGCAAGACAGCCTACTTAATTTTGTTTGTTCGGTTAATTGGGACCCCCCACGTAGACGACTCATCACTGACTCAATAACTCACTGGATGACGATCTGATCATGTTGCAGTTGCCAAACTAGTTATGTACCTTCCTTTTGTAGTGATTGAGTCTTGTTCATTTATCTTGCCGATTCACAATGCTGAACTGCTGTCTTATCTATCAGCCATTAACACGGAACTACTCTTGCTTGAGACAATGCTTGGTTGTTTTGAAGAATATTTTCTCTTTACTTTTGAGTTTTTAGTTTTGCAGATGAATGTTAACATAAGAAATTTGACACCTAGTGAATTGAGGAACTATGTTGTGGCAATTGTTTTAAACCTTGCTTTTTATGGCATTTTTGACCTTATAGTTTGCGGTCATAATGTCGGTATCTAATTACCTACTTTTATCGTGCTTTTAAAAATGCTCTGTATAATATCTCTCGTGTCTTCCTGTACGTGCTTCGAATGTCAAGTTTTTTCTTCTATTAAATACGGTGTCTACTTCTGTGATACTCAAGTAAATCAACAGAAATCAATGGCCATTTGTTCTTGCTATTAAGTAGAAGTCTTTTGGATTTTACAGGCGACATGTTCACCGAAGAACAGAATGAATTGATTGAATCGGCTGCTGAGATGTTATATGGTCTTATACACGTACGTTACATATTAACTAGCAAGGGAATGTCTGCTATGGTAAATATTGCTGTCATTTGTTTTCTCTTTGCTTTACGTTGACTTTGTCGTATATCGTTCTCAAAGTTGTGTACTCGTAACCTCTATCTCAGTTGGAGAAATACAGAAACTACGATTTTGGAAGATTCCCTAGAGTTTATTGCTGTGGACAATCTTGCCTTCCAGTTGGTCAATCCGATATTCCCCGTTCGAGTACTGTGAAAATCTATTGTCCAAAGTGTGAAGATATATATTACCCTAGATCCAAATATCAAGGCAGTATCCTTTATATGTCATGGACTATTTTTCTGTGTTCTGCACTCCCTCTTTTCCCTTGCATATTAAGTTATCCCTACCATGTCTTATATGATTACTTAATTCTTTGAAAAGATAATCATTAGTATCTCTTAGATCATATCGGAACTTGCATCGATTATAAATGTTTTATCCTAGAGGATCAACACGGTGATTCGAATTCCCTTTTATTTTTTACCATAACAATCAGAATTGTCATTATTTGGTTGTACTTATTTCACGACATACGCTCCCGAGTTGGTTTTCGACTTTTTTTTTAATCACATTCTTCACCCAATATAAGATGATGGGTTTGGTGGGTCAAGTCTGCATATACTTTAGTGGGAGGCATGCTATCCTTTTCCCTTGTCTTTGCATTGTAAATATATGCCCATGGTCCCTCCAAAAGATTATGATATCGAAATAATTTTAATATATACATACGCAGTGTCTTTCGGCATGTAAGAGGTATTGCATGTCTTATTAGTTCATATTTCATGTTAGAAAACCATGGTTGTATTACTTTGATTCACAGCTTCGTTTCCTCTGACGTATTTAACAAGATAACGATGGAGCTTACTTTGGGACGACATTTCCGCATCTATTCCAGATGACTTATCTGCACCTAAAGCCACAAAAGCCGATGCAAAAATACGTCCCCAGAGTTTTCGGCTTCAAGATCCACAAGCCCTGAACCGATGTATATCAAGAGTTCATCTTTCATATTGCTGGTTTGCAGAGGCAAATGACTTGAGCTTTGGTGCTTCTTACAAATGCAATGGGATGCCCTGCGGTGTGAGGTGAAGCGGGGTTCCAACTGCGACGGTTGTCACGATAGACATGCTGATATAAAAACGACCTATTTCGAAATACGACTTGTTAGTTGCTGAGCACAAACGCGCGCGCATATATATATATATATATATCTAGAGTTTTATGAAATGTAATTTGATTATATTAATGTATGTTTCTGCGATTTAAATACAACCAACATATATTTTGCTTAACCGCGTGTGGTGACTAACTTCGTTTCCCGAGCCATAACTTGTTGAAGAACCATTGCTCGCTGCCGTCTGCCTCAAAAGGTGTTTCGAGTTTCGACATTAACCCACACGCAAGGGTTGCCCCATGGCTAAATCTATCCAACCAAATTAAGAAAAAGAGACCGACCATCTTCCCAACATGTCATGTTCTGTGATGCGTTCCATGCAGCAGCACATGTCACCATCCTCGGTACTATGTGGCACTTGCCTATCAACATCAAGAGGTTCCCTTTCTTGTCAAAGTCAAAGTAGCTTAAATTATTTTTTTATAAAAAAAATCATTTTTATACAAGTAGGTTCATTATCTCTTATACGTCATCTAAATTTGGCATGTCATTTTCGTTATCGACTTATATAGGTTTCTCAGATTCTTTTTAAAGTGCATGAACTGCCAAAACTAGCTTTGGTATTAACATTTTGATCCCCACCTAAAGATCAATTATCTCTTTTTTATTTGTTTGAAAATCCCAAAATGAGTTGACAAGTTAAAGTTTTCTCTTAATTAATTCGAATCGACTTGAATCGTACATTTAATTTTAGTAAGTGAGTCTTTTAAGTTTTAACAGAAATTTTTATATCTACAATGATTAGAACTTGAGATATACTTATTACTGTTGAAGTTAAAATCCCTACATCCATATAGCCATAAATATTTTCACAAAAACTCACATGTAATCATAAATTATATAAATTTTATTTGTAAATGATGATTAAATTTATATCGAAGAATAATTAATGGATGAAAAAAAATAATACAAGTAACATAACAAGTGAATAATTATATTGAATGACTATGATGAAGGCGGCAGAAAAAGGGAAAATGATTGGTGGGTGGTGGGAGCAATTGGGTAAACCCAAAAATTGTTTGATTGAAGTCATAGGGTCATTATTTTTAGGTATAGAAAAGGGTAAATTATACCTTTTTTCATAGAATTTTTAATCTCTCCTATTTTACTCACCTTACTTTAATTTTTCTACTTTACTCACTGAACTTTATAGATTGAATCATTTTGCTCACTCTGTTGTTAACTTTTTAACGGTGTTATGATATGACACAAGAATCAAAATGAATTATTTTTGAAAAAATCAAATATACACCAAAATGACGTCGTTTCAAATCCTCTTCTTTATAGTTGAGTGAGCAAAATAGGAGAGAGAATAAAGTTCAATGAGGAATAGTATAATTTATACTTTATATTTTCAATTATTTTATATTAAATAATAAAAATAACACATCATCACAACATTAGAGAGTTAATGGCAGAGTGAGCAAAATGATTCAATATGTAAAGTTCAGTGATCAAATTAGAAAAATTGAAAGTATAGTGAGTAAAATATGAGATAGAGTAAAGTTTACTGATGAATGATGAATTTACCCATAAAAATGAAATTGAGGGAATGGCGTTAAAGTAATTTTGATACGAGGAGAGACGGCGCCGACTTAACGAGATCTGAAAAGCGGCGACGAATGCATGTGATAAGAACTACGTGGCCGCATCCCACTGGTAGCTTATAGCAGCCACTTTTTAACAACTCCCGACCGCAACTAAATCTAGATGGGAAGAAAATTTAAAGGGTTTAATTCCGATTTTTACCCATCCAATTCGTAAGAAATTATAATTTAATCCCTTTGTTTTGATTTTCATCCATCCACTTTGTAAAAAAAAAATAAGAATGTAATCCCTTTGCTGCTGTAATTTATCCGATAGAAATGAAGACTATGGCTATAAATAAGTCGAGAAAGATAGCGAGTTCGATTCATCAAAGTTAAGTTAACATTCCAATTGAATTCTCTTAACTCAAACTCAAATTTAACTAGAGTTCTTAAAGAGCCGAAAAAAACTATTTAATACCTGCTTCGAAAAGTTCATGAGCAATAAAAAACAATATATTACAATTTTAAATTAAACTAAATTATTAATAATATAAACATTTATATGTTTTTTTAAATATAATATAAGATTTTTATGCTTTTTAAAGTTTTAGTTTTAATCAAGTTAAGTATGAGAATATTTCAAGTTCAAATCGAACTTGATAGTTTTAAACTTGTGAATTTTTAATGTATACATATATTCAAGAGCTTTCGTGTCGAGTCTAACTTCAAATTTCTACTTTAAATTCAAATTAAGTTTAATAATTTGAAGTTCAGAAAGTTACTATTCAAATTAAACTGAACTTTAAACTTTTTAAATTGAAGCTGCCCGACTCATTTAAAGCACTAACAAAATGTTTATGGTTGTGGATTTTAAAAAATAGGTAAATTATACTATTCTTTACTGACCTATACTATATTTTCTATTTTACTCATTGTATTTGTAATTATTTTAATTTATTCACTGAACTTTCAAATTATTTTTTTTAACACTTCAAATTATTTTATTATTATTTTCATATGTTTTATTATTATTTAATATAAAATAAAAACAAAAGGTGATCGGATGCCACCGACGGTCGTTGTCGACCACTTTAGATGGTGGTTGTTCGGTCCCAAATTTCATGAGTCACTTCTCCTCGATATTGTGAGCCCAAATCCAACCTCTATTTTGTCATAACTTACTCCGAGTTCCACAAATTAGAAATTGAAAGCGGGGAAATCACACGTTTCAGTTGAGATTCACGGGTTTTGAGACATTTTCTGGTGAAACAATAACCATATTCAGACTCAGGGATCGAGATGAACCGACCCATAAAATTTGCGACCAAACGCCCAACGTTTACAGTGGTCGAGGGTGGTCGGAAGTGGTGTTCGACCACTTTTTATTTTATATTTTTAATTATTTTATATTAAATAATAAAAATATCATGTGATATCAAAATAATAATAAAATAATTCAGAGTGATAAAAACAGGAATAATTCGAAAGTTTAATGAGTAAATTAGAAAAATTCAAAGTAAGGTGATAAAAATAAGGAAGAGAGTATAGCTCAGTGAATAATTGTGTAATTTAGCGGAAAAAATTAAATAGATGATGAATTCCACCCTCGCCCTCTTTCTTCTTGTTAGCTTGGACAGTTTTGGAGTGAAGAAGAAGAGAAAATGTCTCCTCTACACACAAATGTAAAGGAAGGAAAATAACCACACACACACACACACAAAACCCAAATTTCCATTCTATTCGAAGCAAAGGGTACGAAGGAAAAGAGTGAATTGTTTCCCACGTATGTAATGCATCAGAAGAAATCCGAAATTCAGATCGGAAAAGAAAGCAGTGGCGTCTCTTCCGGTTTTAATCCCCAACCTTCCACCTTTCCCCGCCACCATCTCCCACTCCACCACCTACAGCATTTCAATTACCACCAGCTATCCGGCCCAACTGCCACGCCCACCACCACCGATACGTCGTCTCCGGTTTACGTTTTCCCTCAGATAGTTACTCAGAGCCCGTCTGAAAATGAAGCCACCACGCCTCCTCCGCCTTCGGCTTCCTCTTCTCCGACCCCTTACAAGAGGTCCCTTCTGACCCAAACGCCATCTCTCACCAAATCCCCAACTTTGTACCGTTTTACCACGCCTCCGCAGTTCAATTCCCGGAATACGGCGCCCTTCTTTTCCTTGTCCGTTGCTGCTAAATCATCCCTTTACGGAATCATCCACCGTTTCAAACACCTGCGTCGTTTTCGAGTTTACATACGCTTAATCCTCCCTCTGTCTCTCTCCTTCTTGTTCTTCTTTGTTTCACCTTCAACCCACTCTTTTCTACTGGATTTCCTAACGGCTTTCGCTTTCTCCGCTGCCCTTGTTTTCTCTCTTAACCTTGCCCTTCCTCGTCTCCCTTCTATTCGGTTGTTCTTAGCCCGTTCGTTTCCAATTAAGCTCAAGCCTTCTTATTCACTATCAAGGTCGCACTTGCCGGTGTTCTGGTCAATTGGGTCTCGGCCGAAATCCGAGAAGGGAGCGAATTCGGGGTGTTGGGTTCAAGTTTATAGCAACGGAGACGTTTACGAAGGGGAATTCCATAAAGGGAAGTGTTCGGGGAGCGGGGTTTATTACTATTATTTGAGTGGACGATACGAGGGGGATTGGATAGACGGTAAGTATGACGGCTATGGGGTCGAAACATGGGCGAGAGGAAGCCGGTATCGAGGGCAGTTTAGGCAGGGCCTTAGGCATGGATTTGGAGTTTATTGGTTCTACACTGGGGATGTTTATGCCGGTGAGTGGTCTAATGGGCAGAGCCATGGCTGTGGAATCCATACCTGCGAGGATGGAAGTCGATATGTTGGCGAATTCAAACGCGGTGTCAAGCATGGATTTGGACATTACCATTTCAGGTAAATTAATATGAATTCTGGGTTTCTCATTGGTGCTTTAAGTGTCAGCTGGTTGTACCATTGTACCTTTCTAGGTCTCATTCTAGGTTTGCCAAGATTCTTGGTGTCCTAATGAATATGCTTAGTAGTTGTTTAGGTTGTAGATTTTGCCCTGTTTTTTTTTTTACATGTATTAGCTTGAATAGCAGACACGTTTCATTCAAGTGCAGCTCAAGCAATGTAGGGAAAGTTCGGTTGTATGTTTGTAAGTACATTTTTGCAGCTGTGAGGGTGGCCTTTTCATTCAAAAGAAATTACTGGATATCTACTTTTGTAAGTGTAGATTTACGGATCTTTTGGTTTAGGAACGGAGATACTTATGCCGGTGAATATTTTGCGGACAAGATGCATGGATTTGGTGTCTATAGCTTCGCAAACGGTCATCGGTACGAGGGTGCTTGGCATGAGGGCAGACGACAAGGGCTTGGAATGTACACGTTTAGAAGTGGGGAAACACAGTCTGGCCATTGGCAAAATGGAATTCTCGACGTCCCGAGCACGCAGAGTTTTACATATCCTGTATCCCCTGTAGCTGTCTACCATTCTAAAGTACTTAACGCCGTTCAGGTACTTTTTGGTGCAGTTGGCTGTATTAATTTTCCCGTCATTAATTTAAATGGTCCCATCTTAGTCACCTGAGCCATTTAATTTCGTGTGGTAGGAAAATAATTGCTGGACCTGATGGCTAACTTTATATGATTCGAATGTATAAAAATGTGAATACCAGGTGTAAATCTAGTTGCATGTACCTCATTCGGCGTAAATAATGTCGAGTAGCCAAATTTCACCAGCATGTCATACAAAATGTTTAGAGGCATGCCTAAATACTTGCATGACTTATTTTGTGGTTAAGAATATCCTTGCAATCTTCATCGTCTTTTCTTCTTCTTCTTTTCTGTCGTATTACATATAATGCAGCAATGTGAAACCGGGGCATGTTAGATTGTTTTGTGTCATATGCAGGAGGCTCGAAGGGCAGCTGAGAAAGCCTACGATGTGGCCAAGGTAGATGAGAGGGTGAACAAGGCGGTAGCTGCAGCTAATAAAGCGGCCAATGCAGCGAGAGCAATAGCGGTTAAAGCAGTCCAAAAGCAGATGGGTCACAACAACTACAAAGACAACACTCCTATTGTGTAAGACTTTTGGCAACACCCTATTAACATTCGAAAATACAATGAGATAGCGGCAAGAAGATGGTAGCTAATGTGGCTTTGTTTTTGAGAGGCCGTGAAGGAAGACGGTTGAAGAGTAGTCAATACTTTTTAACATAAAAAAAAAGCATAGAAGAAGGGGTGGCGAGAGATAGGCACCATTTTCTAGTTAATTTTAGATATCCTTTGTACAGTTCAGTAAAGATGAGCTATATGTGTTATAAAAAGCTGATGATGGAAGCTCATCCAGTCAATGTTGTTGAACTTTAACTGCTCTCTGCAATGAAAAAAAAAACCATACATAACAGTTCCTTATTCTTCCTCAACTTACCTCGGTGGTTAAAAGAATTATTGTTATTTCCAGAGGTCACGAGTTCGAGCACCAACGTCTATAGAGGGTAATTGAGCGTTCATTATCAAATGTTTGGTATTGTATTTAAAACATATACTACTTTGTATTCACATTAGCTTAATCATCTTAGTGTTTAGCCTCGGCCGTTAGAAGTTGAAAGATAAACTACAAAAAAAAAATCTGGAAAATAGAAATCGAAAGTCGAAAGAGAAGAAATGACTAGTGAAATATGCAAATAATCCAACAATTTAAAAAAAACATTATTTACCGACAATCAATTGGTTTAGTGAGATGAGACATTATATATTTTAAGCATGTTTAGGGGTTTAGATTCTATCGTTTACAAATGAAGTAAATTGAGTTTGAAAGATCGTCATAGTCTTTGCAATATCTAATTCAGATTAATTAATTAATAAATGACTTATATCACAAATAAGTACCTAAAGTATTTTAATTTTTTATATAAGTACTTAAAGTATTTTCTGATAAAAATAAATATTTAAAAGTTATGTTTTTAGTCAAAATAGGTACCTAAAGTATTTTATGTCAAGATATGTACCTAAACTATCCAAACCTTTTCATTTAAGTTCTAAAAAAAATTTACACGTGACATTAATTAAAGAATACTTTAAGTACTTGGATAAAAAATTGAATACTTTAAGTATCTATTTTGACAAAAAATATTTTAGGTACTTAAATAAAAAAGATAATACATTTTATGTACTTATTTATTATATAAGCCTTAACGAATTGAATATTGATGGTTATACAACAAAATAAAATGTTAATTTTTAGAATTAAAATAAAGTGTAACGCTAAAGTGATAAATATTATTATGTTAGTTTTATTAATTATCATATGGTGTACATAAATTATAAAATTCAAATTTTATAATAAAATTATTAATTTATTATTTTTTACATTAAATAAATAATGTATATTTATTTATAATTTAAAGAGTTAACAAAAGTCATCTTTTAATTAAATTATTATTTACATATTTTACAAAAAAAATATTAATTTTAAAAATTTTTTATTTTTTACTAAAAATATTTTATTTTTTTAAAATTTAAAAATATTATAAATTCAAATCCACCTCTAAAATTTTAAAAATTGAAATTAACTATTATATTTAAAAAGAAGAAGAAGAGAGAATATTCCAATAAAATGTCGAAAGGAAACTAAATAATTTTTAGAAAGGTTGAATGAAGGCACGACACCCGAAATAACGAAAGTCAATATGAATCATCGAAAACGCGATTTTAATTTTAATTTTTATTTTTTCAACAAAATATACATACGCTCTTCTTTTATTCTATTCCCCTCTTCCAATCAACGCTGATCTCTTCTTCTTTATAAATTCATCCTTTTTCCCCAAATTTGGAAGTGATTTTTAGAATTTGCCTTGTGATTTTGAGGATTGTATCCGCCGCCAGGACCAGGCATGTACCACAATTACCCTCCGCCGATGCTGGTCGACTGTTCCGGATGCCGCACCCCTTTACAGCTCCCGCACGGCGCCCGATCCATACGTTGCGCCATCTGCAAAGCCGTTACCAACATCGCCGACCCCCGATCCGTCCCTCCTCCCTCTCAGCAACCTGCTACTTCCGCCCACGCTCCTCCTCTGCCTTCTTCTTCCCCTCCTTCCCCCTACAACCACGCGCCTCCAGGTGCCCCTCCCCACGCGAACGGTCGGAAAAGGGCGGTGATCTGTGGGATATCGTATAGATATTCAAGGCACGAGCTCAAGGGTTGCGTTAACGACGCAAAGTGCATGCGTTACCTTCTTGTCAATAGGTTTAAGTTTCCCGAATCTTCCATTCTCATGCTCACCGGTAATTTTTTTCTTTATTTATCATTAGATTTCGCATCTTTGAACTGGAATCAATTCTATTGAGCAATATCTGAATAGGCAGTAAATTCTAAGGTTTAAAGATCGAATTTTGACCATTAAGGTGATAGCTACCTCAGAGAATCTTTCGTTTCTGTTTAATGCATTTATTTTATGGTTTTGACTCAACTTTTCTTAATTGTTAATGTGAATCTTACTCGAGATTTCTTAATTCTGTATTAGAGTTAAATTATTAAAAGTGTTAACCTTTTTTTTTTCCTTACGCAGAAGAAGAAACTGATCCCTACAGGCTTCCAACTAAGCATAATATGAGGATGGCTTTATATTGGCTAGTTCAAGGATGTCAACCTGGTGATTCTCTGGTGTTTCACTACTCTGGTCATGGTTCCCGGCAACGGAATTACAATGGTGATGAAGTTGACGGCTATGATGAGACCCTTTGCCCTTTGGATTTCGAAACTCAAGGGATGATTGTTGATGATGAGATAAATGCAACAATTGTTCGACCACTAACTCAGGGGGTTAAGCTTCATGCGATCATTGATGCTTGCCATAGTGGAACTGTATTGGATTTACCATTCCTTTGCAGAATGAACAGGTTTGCTGCTTCCGAACATACTTACGTACCATTAACTTTTTAATTGAGATTCCCTACTTATTTTGTTAGAAACAGAATACCTATTCCATAGAGAATAAATTTAGTTTGCATGTCAGGAAGAAAAGTGTGTTTCATGTTATGCATGTTAGCTGAAGGGAAAAGGTGCTCGAAAGGACCTATTTATGGTTTAGGGTTGACCAGACTTTTCATACCCTTTGGCATTTTAGTTTATGGTTAATTATGCTGTTTTATATTCTTAATTTGAAGACTTGAAGTTGATGCCTTGTTTGATCTAGGGTTGGACAGTATGTATGGGAGGATCATCGTCCTGCATCAGGTTTATGGAAGGGAACAAGTGGTGGTGAAGTAATCTCCTTCAGTGGTTGTGATGATGATCAAACCTCTGCTGATACATCTGTAAGATTCCTGAAAACTGATTGCATGTCTAGAAACTTTAGTTCCGATGACATTTTAGACTTCAAAACTAAAAAAAATGTTGCAATGCTTTGGAGAGCAGGCTCTATCAAAGATTACATCAACTGGTGCCATGACATTCTGCTTCATCCAAGCCTTCGAGCGGGGGCATGGGGCTACATATGGGAGCATTCTCACTGCAATGCGCAATGCTATTCGAAGTGTGGGCGGCGGTGGTGGCGACCTTGTTGGTGGTGCTGTTACATCCCTCGTCACCATGCTTTTGACAGGAGGTAGTACTACCGGACTTGGTGGTGGGCTGAAGCAGGTAATATTTTGATGTTTAATTTAAGTAATGAAAACCTTTCTGCTTCTCTGACTTGTCTGTTTATTTTCCATTCCTATAATACAAAGTGCTTTGATTGTATAGTAGAGCATCTCAAACATGCCATATATCCTGCCAATTAACGTTGTTTGGAACTAACTTTGGTAAAATCTTTGTCGTTAAAACAACCGATACTTTGATCCGATGGCACCTGTACTGTTTTATAATATCAAGTCTTAAGCTAAGTTCATTTTAGAATTTGGAATTTGGCATTGTGAGAAGGCTTGTTTGAGTTTTCAAACCTGGAATATTACAGTGAAACAAAAATTGGCTTCCAGGGACAGGTGAAAAAGCTAAAATGAAGATAATATTTGTTGGTAGTTTCTGACCTTTTTTTGTATTTTTTTCTGTCAACAGGAGCCCCAACTGACAGCATGTCAGCCGTTTGATGTGTATACTAAACCTTTCGTCCTTTGATTTTCTTTTTCTATAAACGTTTATATTGCGCTGTTCGTTAATTGAATGTGTTTGTATCTCTAGATAAGGGTTTGGATTTCATTTGTATTCTGAAAACATATTGGTTGAGCAAGAACTTCCTGGGTTATCCCATCACATTTCCTAGCTATGATTAATAAATCCACGTTTCTCTATGTCTTCAACTTTTAGTTGCTTTGTCCCAATTCTGGAACTGGCTTTCCAGTTAAAAAGTGAATGCATAAAACATATTGGTGAAGTCATTATGCTCGATTTCTCAAATTTTGTGACATTTGAGTAATTTTAATGTTATACGGTTTAGATTTCCATTTTAAGAGTACATGTCCAACACGTTGTACACTTGAGTTGTTTTGTTAGTCAGATTTGTCGAAACCATTTTTGGTTGAAAACGGGAGCCGCCATCAATGGTTTTGGGTTAGGTATGACTTGAGTACCTTTTAATTGGGTCTGAGTTTAAAACTAGATAAAAAAGAGTTGGGGGTCAATTACGTGTGGGAAAGGTTAAAGCACCCTACGACGTCCAAAAATTTGTACCTTTTAAAAATACACGATGTTAATTTTTAAAAGAATTGTGACTACAAATTTAGCCTAATTTTAACCTCACATATGAATGTATTTTTTAAAGAAATATAGTGAATCTCGTTTGGAATCAACAATTTATGTTTGCACCCATTTGAAAAAGAGGTTCACATCATTTAAAGAGGATGTCACCTTGTTATATACAACTAAAAGGTCACAATTCAGCCACTTAGGACACAACCTTTTTTTAGCCGACTTAACAAAATAACATTGCCTCAATTTTCATGGAATGTATTTTTTAAAATGATCAAGCACGAAAATCACACATACCCAATTTCAACAATATGCATCAAAATTATTATTCAAATTCTTAATTAAGGCCAAAAAAAGATAATTATTGAATCACCAAATTATTTCCCTAGACTCTAATTATGAATAAGGATAATTAATGATAGTGTCTAGGCATCAAAACAAAGGACAATTAAAACCAATTAATAAATAATGTGAGTTTAATGACACTAATTATTTAACTTAAATCCAATTATCCATCAATAAATAATTTTAAAAAAACTGGTCGATCATGGTAATCAAAACCCTAATTAAAAGATACATGCCAATTACACCAAATTGAATCGATTTATGCTTTAATTTCAAATTAAAAACTTAGAGATTGTTTGTTTACTTCATAATAATTAAGCGCTGAATGATTCAAATACTGAATAATTCAGAAGCTCTGAATGGTTTGGCTCTGAATGTGACATGTTGTTTGATAACTGGCTCTGAATGATTAAGAATGTACTTCTGTGCTGAACCATTCAACACTGCTTTATTGAATCAATCAGCACTGAATCATTCAGAGGTGTGAAACAAACGCGTTGAATGCTAAACGGTTCAATATTCAGAGCTGAATAGTTCCATTAAGAGTCAAATAAACATCCCCTTATACTCAAAATAAGGGTCAAAACGTGAAATTCCAAAGCCATTAATGGTAGCTTCTATTCCATGCAAATCAACTATGGAAGTCAAAATTACAAAGTACGTACCGAGTATAATTCAACTAATCAAAAGTAATCTTTAACAAAGTCATTGAAATTTGATGACCAATTATGCACAGTAGCCATGTTAAACTCCAGTCGGATAAGCAAGGAAGTAAATCATTAAGCCACGCGTTTCAAAATCAAATTGAAAGCATTAAAGAAACAATCATGTAATTGAAGGCATAGTCGATTTGATCGATATCATCATTCAAATGTCAGATCGGAACAAAGATCTTGACTAAACTAATCGAGCGATTAAAGCCACGAGTATTACCTTCTCCTAGACTGGAAATTCGTCGTTGAACATTAGTTCGCCTGAGATTTGAAGGTTCGCTTGTCATTTTGATGTTTTGGCTTTTTACTTCTCTTAATTCACGGAGCTTTTTTCGTTCTCTTTTCGCATATTCCTCTTCTCAAAGATTTGTACAACATTTGCTACTGTAAATATTTTTTTTTCTATTGAAAATTTAATTTCGCTACCTAAAATGGAATCTTTCCGATATTAACATTTATAGTAGAAAAAATAATATTTTAGGTAATATCCGATATTAATATTTTCGATAGAAAAAATAACATTTTAGGTAGCGCTCTACTGGAAATGTTAAAAAAAATATTAACATTTTCGATAGTGCATTTTCTTAGTCTTGTATTAGGCTGCCTTTCCTTAGACATCTCTAATTTTTCATCCCAATTTTTTATCCTTTTTACAAGGTGTGAAAATGAGTTTAAATAGAGATGTATGAGAGCTGACGGTGAGAGTCCAAATTTTATTGGACTATTGGGAAAGTTGAATTGTAGTGGGATATTAGATTTCATGGGATAAGGTTGTTGTTAGTTTAAAAGATGAGGTGGTGGAAGAGTCCTCCTAATAGAAGAACCCTTGTTAATTTTTTTTCTTCTATTTTTTTGAAAAAAATTAAAAAACAAATGAGCAAGGTTTCCTTTTGATTTTGGGTTGTGTAATATATATGGGTCTAAGTATTAAGCCCGGACAAAATTTATGATTAGAAGATTGTTTAAGATTTTAATTCATGTTTGATCCATATTCTCTTTTAAGGGGTATAACATCTTATTAGAGATTAAGATTGTTTAACATTTTGTGCAAAAATAATTCAAGAGTCACATTAATTTTTTAAAAAAAGCACAAGAACCTCAAATACCATTTTATCTTTTTAAAATATATAGTTTTTCAAATTGATCAATGTAACACACGGCACCACCACTGTTATTAATTTTGAAATGTTTGTTGACATGGACCACTAAAGTGATGACATGTTTCATACTAATTAATTTGGAGCAATTATATATATATATATATTATTCAACTGTATAAATGAGTCTTTTAATTATTCAATTACAAATATATTTGAAAATAAATAATTTATTTTTACGTTAAATAATATAATATAATATTGGTAGTGCTTTATGAAAATTAAATTAAATCAAAATATAAAAGATCTCATATTCCACTAGAACCAAAAGTATGTGCAATTTTAACCCTTGTCCCATTTTGAATAGGTCACGATAATTAGTAGTAGTAGATTAGTAGTAAGGGAGTTAGATATTTTAAAGTGCAAAAAGAAGGAAAAAAAGGCCAATATTTTGGTTGTAAGGGATAGTCCTAAGGATGGAACAAACATACCGTAAATCCTTGGCAAGTACACGACATGCAATACCAATAATTTTAAGAGTAAAATACACAAATGATCCCTTGACCACAAATGCATTGTTTAATTAAATCCTTTTACTATTAAAAATTATATAATGATCTATCAACTATAGCATGTTACTTTGTTGAATCCCTCGACTATTAAAAGTTACGGAATAGCCATCCAATTATTCATATGTTACAAACTCATCATTTTACATTAAAAAATTAATGATCGTTTAAATTGGACGTTAACCTGCTGACTGCAACATGATAAAATATGATCACAAAACCATTTGAGTTGAATATTATTTTTGAGATTCTGAGATCAAATTCTACCATATCTCAGTCAACAGGTTGACATCTAACTCAAAAAATTACAATTTTTAATGAAAAAATGACGAGCTTAAAACATATGAATACTCTAATGACTATTTTATAACTTTTAAACGTCATGAAACTCAACAAAACATCTTATAGTAAGGTGAACATTTGTGTACTATAATACCCTAATTTTAACTACACTGCATTATCTATTTGCCATTTAAACCGTGGAATTTTGCATTATATATAAAACATCTAACATTCATGAATCAGTTGTTTCCGCCACTGCAAACCTGGTGAAACCCATTGAAGATTATTTCATATTGGGTAAACGTGCAAACATAGAAATAGAAGGAAAGAACAACATACTGAGAACAATATCTGGAACCATGAGATAAATCTATGCATCAATGGTGCAGGTTTAAGGAAGAGAAATCGGACAAACAACTAATCAACAAACGTAGTGGCATATGACACTAGCCTGTGAGGGCAGAGTTGAGTGCACTATGCACATCAACTCCAATTTGGGTTTCAGCTTTCTCCAAGTCGGTTGTGGCAGAGCTCAGCTTCGAGGTGAACTCTGCCAGCCCTTTCTGAACAAGATTTGCATCAAGTCGATCAAGTGGCACGGCCTCCACAGCTATTATATCAGCAAAGGAGTTGGCATGGATGAAAACAAAACCACTACTGACGAAATACTTTGTCACTTCATTTCCTTCGTGCACTGATAAAACACCGGGTTTCAGTTCTGCAATTGTTGCTACATGTCCCGGAAGAACACCCATCTGCCCAGTTGTGGCTGGTACTATAACCATGTCAATCTGGGAAACCGATAATTTATTAGGCAAGAATCCAGATAATTTGCAAGAGTTTGTCTATGAGTTTTGCCATTAGCCCATTACTTTCCTTCAAATATTCACTGTTTTTCTAGACCAAGCTTATGGCAAAGGCACCATGAAGATCTGCATTTCTATTTCTATTTTCATTGGCTTAAAATTCAATGGAACAACTTATCATCTCCCGCCGAACCCACACCAAAACCAAAAACGAGTAGAACATAAATAACACCATTCCTCATACCTCTCTCTCTTACTCTCTGTTTCCATTTATCTCTCAAGTGGTCCCGTGGGTCAAGGGCAGTACACTGAATTGTTAATTCATTATTTCACCATTGCTCAAACTTCAATAAGAATAATCACCTAATTCTATGCGCAAAAAGGTAGTATCTATACAAGAAAATTAATAGTAAATTTTGTTGCTTGAGTGACTCAAGTTTAAAAGAAGGGCTAGATATGACCAGATTTACTTTTTGAGAATAATATTCACTGGTGGGTTGTAGTGTTGGAACCTACTGAACGGAATAAAGATGGAATGGAAGAAAAATGTTCGGAATACTGAAATCAAATCACAGCAAGGATTAGCAAAGTTGATCAAGTATCAGCATTAGCACAAAAATGAATGATAGAAACGCAGTTGTTCTTGTAGTTAGGAGCAGTCCTTTAGAATTGCACTTCCCACACTAACCGATCAATATTTATTAGCTGAAATCAATTGTCTTTGGTGCAATTTATGAAAGGTTCCATTCAATGAACAAAATTCAGAGCAAGGCAAATGCTTATGAAAATAAAATATTTATAGCATAATAAGGAACAGTCGAACAGAAAATGTCAACGGATAGGCATTATCATTATCATAGAGTAATAGTAACTGAAATTCATCTGTTACTGTTTTCGCTGAATTACCAGCAACAATCTGACTAAAAGCAAATCCGGCTTTCCAATCACAAATGTTCTATGTATGAGTGGAAACCTAGAAATATCTTAACGAAAAAGAGTGGAAATGCACGAGTTAAAGAATAAAGCATATGCTAACAAAAAGAAAACCATTCACTCTCTATTTGTTTACTCAAGGATTTGAGGACAACAGACTTATCAATGTCGCTGCACTTCTAAGTGCCATTTCTATCGATATCACAATCAATTAAGTCTGATATGATCATTATCTTCTTTATAGAAAAGCAGTAGCGAAACCAGCAAGAACAAGAGACAACAGATACGAAAAAAAATCTCAAACGTTTCTTTTGGGATTTAGTGACGCAGCTAATAAAAGCCTAGAAGACATCCTATTCTCAGTTTCTGAAAACTAAATGAAAATCAACAAAGGCAATATGAATACACTCTAAATGGCAGTGCTATACTACAATTGTCTGTCTTCTAGGGATTTCAATTTTTCCTCAGAATCAGTAACCCGATGAAAAGATGCATTAACATAAAGATTTGACCTTCGCCTTTAATCAGAGAATAGCATAAAATATTCATTCCCGCACTCCTAATCCCAGAAAACAGAATCCAAAACAAAACCCAAAAATCTACCTCTTTGGTGGCCAACTCAGAAGCATAAGGAAGGACGAAATTGACAGTGAGCTTGGAAGGAATGGAGGAAGGAGTAGGGGGACGAGGCTGCATGAAAGACAGAGGAGTTTTGGGAGGGTCCATATTGGGGATCACTTTATTCCACGCATCCGCGAACGCGGCATCAGCTGTCTGATCAGCCGCTGACAGATCGGTAGAGAAGGCTCGAGTCCTCGCCGCTAAAATGGGCCGACGGGCCAATAGTCTCGATGCTTGACGCAACATTGTCGGATTGGTTTGGGGGTGATCGCTCGGCTCTCGCAGGGTCGGAGACGGTGTGGGAGAATTAGGTCTTTCAGTCTCTTTCTTCGTATTTCTGATGCGAAAAAAAAGTTGTACGATCATCTCTTAGGTAAAATATCCGAACCGTTGCGTATCGGCCGATCCCATGGTTTGTAAAATACACGATTGGTCCTTCAGTTATTATTATATCTCTATTTTGAGTCACAAAACCATTTTTATTTAGGATAAAATATACAAATGATCCCTCAACTATATGATGTTACTTTGTTGAGTCCTCCGACTATCAAAAGTTTCAATATACTCCTCCAATTGTTATTTTGTTGAGTTTTTCAATTATTAAAAGTTACAAATGGTCACATGACTATTTATATTCATCATTTTTCGTTAAAATATTGACTACAATCTATTTTGACGTTAATATACTATCTGAGATATGATAAATTTGATCCCAGAATCTCAAACGATTGTTGCATCTCATACAATATATTAACATTCAGATCATATTGTCGATAATTTTTAACATAAAATGACGAGTTTGGAAAATAATGAATACTTAGGTGACGGTTTTATAACTTTTAATAATCAAAAGGATTCAACAAAGCGTCATCCGATAGTCAAAGGATCATTTTGTAACTTTTAATAGTCAAAAGGCTTAATAAAGTAGTATCCTATAGTTAAGGGATCATTTGTGTAATTTACGCTTTTATTTAATTTCTAATATTTACACAACAACATGGGTTATGGAATGCTATAATTAAGAGCGAGCAAGTTCGGTTCAAATTAAAAACTTGATTTTTATTTTCTATTCGAATTGAATTACTTTGATTAATGACTTATAAATTCGATTAGGTTTTAAATATTTTTAAATTCGAATAACTCAACAATTTTTTTTGTAATTAATATATTGATTATTAGATTTACGTCAAATCTCTCAATTATATATATATATATATATTACATATGAAAATATACGAAGAAATAAATATTATTATATATAAACTCTTATTTAGTTCAATACTTAATATATCAATGGACCTTTTTTCCATTTTCTTAAGTTTTTTAATTTTATTCATGTTCAAAAAAAATTTAAAATAATATCTAATAATGGCGTAGTATTTTAACAATTAACAATACGGCATTCACATAATAAAATATTGCCAATGTTATGCACCACAATATAGTGTTAATTACTTAATCATAATTTAATTAATTATAAATTGAAATACCATGTAAATTTCAGATCACAGTGATAAAAAGAACTAAATAATCAAACTAAAAAAAGTATCTAAATTGAGAATAAATATATTAAATTTTAATTCAATTTAAAATCTTTATAATAATACTAAAACCATTCTTTAATATTCGGTAACCATTCTTTAATATTAAATTTCTGATGAGGACGGTTCATCGGACGAGTCCCGATGATAATGAACACTACGATCCGAATTAAACTTCTCGGATCTCGATCTGAAAAGATCCGAAAGGAACGAGAACCTGTTTTTCTTTTTGTAAGACCTGACAGCTTCAAAATCGCCTCTGGCTCCGGTGCCGTGGGTAGGCCCCACCTGAGGAGTGCTGTAAAACCGCTGGTGGTGGATCCAGTCGGCACCGTCGTCTTCAGATTTCCGTCTACTAACGTAAGGAGAAACAGACCGAGGTAAAATCAGCGGCGGTACGTCAGGTTTCCGAAGACTCTCGGCAGCGCGTGCTAATTGAGCTTGGGCGGCGAGGACCGCAAGAAGACGCTGCCGGAGACAAGTGGCGCAGACGCCGACACTGCTGCTAAGGTCAGTCAAAAGATCCTTGCACCTCATTTACTTCAAAAAAAAATTTACACACGCATAAATATATATTATGTACTAAAAAAAGAGAAAAAAACCTTTGGTTTTTATGCAAGTATAAACAGAGTGTACGTAGTCTTAGTATGAATGGCTATGACATGAGCGGGTTTTATGGGAAGAGACCGGATGAAGAAATAAAAAAATGGAATAGTGTGTCCTTTTTTCCAAGTGTTGGGAGAAGACAGAGTGTTTGGGGTTTATCTGTTGGGCTCCTCTTGATTCAGTAGGGAAAATGGAATTATGGAAGTTGTTGCCAAATGTACGGAGGGTCCTCTCCCAGCTGCAATTTAGTAATTAATCCGCCTATAATATTGGGCCAATTTTGCCGATGCTGGTTAGCTCGGGCCAAGCAAATGCTGTCCAGCATACTTTGGGCAAGCCGGTTAGTAATTCAATGGATCATATTACTAAATAGTGCAGAATTAAGACATTAGGAGAATTGAAGTAAAGAGAAGCCTATGTTGTTGTTTCCATACGAAATTGGGTTTCAATAATCTCTTTAACATTAACCCACTCTTTTTGATTTCGTCTATGTTCTTCGTAATAGTTAAATTTTAGAATGAATACCCACAATAACAGTAAGTCAAATAGATCATTCAAATGGATTAAAGTAGCTAGGGGTATTTATGAACCAAGTTTAAACAAACAAAGTTATATTCATGTTTGTTTGTTTATTTTTTAAGGTGTTCGTATTCGATTTGCGTTTGTTTGTCAATTTTTTTAAGGACTTCGTGTTCATGTTCGATTCGTGTTTGTTTAAATATTTAGTATAGTCTTCTTGCTCGTTTATTTATTTTTGAAGGTGTTCATGTTCATTTATTTATTGTTTACGAACATGTTCGCTTAATGTTCGTGAACGTGCTAATTTAACGTTCACAAACATGTTTGTTTATATATTCAATTTTTAGTTTTACCCTTTCATGCTAAAGAAAAACGGCACAATTACGTCATTAGTGTTTAAATTCTTTAAAATTCACAGTTTAAATTTTTAATTTTTATCATATGTTCAATTTAGTCACTACTATCGCCAATATTTAAAATGTGAAAAAAGGGAAAATAAAAATTGGATAAACGAACTTGTTCATGAACATAAATAAACGAGTCGATAAATGAGCTCATAAACGAGCTTGTTCATCGACATAAACGAACAAAACACACACCTGTTCGTGTTCGTTTGTTTATTAAATGAACATAAAAAAATTTATTCATACTCGTTTATTTAGTTTAACAAACTAACGTTATACGAACAATTAATCGAATAATATGTTAATTTATACCCCAAGTAGCTGCACAAAATTATTTCATTAAAAAGTATAGAAATCTTTATAGTCGTCGCCGGTATCTGCACCGCATCGTCCACCACCGACAAGATGCCGGTGAGCCATAGGGTCGTCGGAGGCGTCAAAAGTCCAAATCTATTGGTGGAGACAAGACAAGAACCACGGTTCATCCTACTTTTCAGAGTGGGCCAAGACGGCACAAGTTTGGACAGCGCAACGTTTGAAACGTGCAAGACTTGCCTAGTTTGCCCATTATGTATCCTACCTTTCTTTAATTTTAATTATTCTGGTTGAAATCCATGAAAAATACACAAATCTAAATGCGAATGGAAGTTTGAAAATATAACGTTGGAAGTTGATATTTATTGGGTTTTTTTAAGAAGGAGAAGCTTTGAAGCAACCTAATTTCCTGAATTTTCTTTATAGCTTCTCCTCTCTTCTTGGAAAAAGATTGTTACTCTTTTTTTTAAACACACTTGCAAAGCCCAATGATAATTATCTTCCAGAGTTAGAGGTATAAACACTTGCCTCTTCTTCCTTTTATTATTATTTTAAGAACAAACAAATATTTTTGCTGCGTCTGTTTCGTTAGTAACTTCGGAAGCTCTCTTTTTTTATTGAAGAGGAAATTATTCCCAGAAAAACTTGGCTTTTGGTTCTGTTTTGTTGCCATTTATTTAATGATTTTGAGCTCCTAGGTTATAGATCACTGTTTTGATTGTTATTTCTCTTATAGTAAAGTTAGCTTTTTTCTTGGAATAATCACAGAGCCAAGTTTCTAACCATGCAAGCCATCTCATACAATTCTCCCCCATGCTGTAATTTGAATCGGAGATTACTAGCAAAGAAAAGCTCAAGTAGACAGAAATTAAAGACCCCTTTGTGTAGAAAGCACAGAGTTTTATGCACTAGGGCTCTATCTAGAAGTGGCTCACTGGGATTATCCGATAAAGATCAGCTTTTTTCGAAGAATGTTTACAACGGGAAAGCTTCGAGGCCTTTCGAGGCTCTTGAAGGGGTTTACAATGTTGATTCAAAGGTTTTGAGCGGGAATTATGATGGTTATGTGATTGGTGGTGAAGACGAGGTTGGGGGGATGTCGAAAACCGGGGAGCCGGTGACCAAGGTTTTGATTCCGGGGCTGCCCGACGAGTCCAACGGCGAACGCGGTGCTCGAATAAGCAGTTGTTTCTGGGAGTGGAAACCCAAATTCAATGTGCATTATGAGAAATCGGGTTCCGAAAATTCGAATTCCCCGCCGGTGCTCTTCCTTCCCGGTTTCGGTGTCGGTTCTTTTCATTACGAGAATCAATTGAAGGATCTAGGTCGTGATTATCGGGTTTGGGCGATCGACTTTCTCGGGCAAGGCATGTCATTGCCTTTTGAAGACCCCACTTCCTCTTCTAAGGAGGAGGGTATTACTGAAGGGAAGGATTCGATGTGGGGATTTGGGGATAAAGCTGAACCATGGGCGACCGGTCTGGTTTATTCGATAGATTTATGGCAGGATCAGGTTCGACATTTCGTAGAAGAGGTACAATCACATATCAACTCTAATTCACACGTTTGCATACATGTTTATTCATGTTAGGGAAGTCATGTTCATATGTGAAAACTTGTTTCATCTCAATGTAGTTTTAATTTGTGCTGTCGCTAATCATTCCTGCATAATATTGTTTTTAATCTAGTGCTCTAGCTAACATGGCTTCAGGATTTTGTAATCGTATAACTCGTTAGTTTCAGATAAATTAAATGTAACGGAATCGATAAAAACCTAAGCTCTTTCTCTCGCAGGTCATCGGGGAACCAGTTTACATTGTAGGGAACTCGCTCGGAGGATTTGTTGCTCTATACATTGCAGCTCGCAATCCTGAATTAGTGAAGGGTGTTACACTACTTAATGCTACTCCATTTTGGGGATTTTTTCCAAATCCAATAAAATCTCCGAGGTTAGCGAGGATATTTTCGTGGTCAGGAATGTTTCCTCTACCGGAAAACGTTAGGAAGCTGACAGAATTTGTGTAAGTTCTTTTTCCTCCTTATTTCATGATATGGCCTTCTCACCATGTAAATTAACAGTCCATGACCGTGAAATGTTGTGTTTTTTTAAACACATAAATGTCACATACTAATAATTACCGTATTGCGGTTTCTACTCGGGAAAGAGATGAAGTGATCGTGCAATCGTTTTCTTCGCTTTCTTTACTTTAAATCTCTTCTTGCTCGTTCTTAACTTCTTTTTCCGCCATTTGATTTCAGTTGGCAAAAAATAAGTGATCCTGAAAGTATTGCGGACGTACTTAGACAGGTTTATGCAGATCATTCTATAAATGTTGACAAAGTCTTTTCTTGTATTCTCGAGACAACGCAACACCCTGCTGCTGCTGCATCGTTTGCTTCAATTATGCTTGCTCCTCAAGGAGAGCTGTCTTTCAAGGAGGCTTTATCGAGGTGGGTGGTATGAAATAGCTTGTATGGCCAAATCCATGCCTTCTATGAGGAAGACATACCTATCTGCTTTAAGTTATCGACTTCGTGCTTTTTTTTTTTTTTACTTTCAGGTGTCATATGAACGGTGTGCCTATTTGTCTCGTGTATGGAAAAGAAGACCCCTGGGTAACGCCTGTTTGGGGTCTTCAGGTGAAAAGGCAAGTTCCCGAAGTTCCGTACTATCAGATCAGCCCAGCCGGTCACTGCCCTCATGATGAAGTTCCTGAGGTATGTTATCACTGATAGGCTTGCTTTTCACATCTTACACCGACAACCATTCCTTTTGGCACATAAGAAATCGGTTACGAATTTGTCTTACTAGGATCCTGTAGTATTGTAACTTGTTTTTAAGTTTGTAAAGACAATATGACTGCAAATGTTAACGAAACCGTCGGGTTCGGAGATTAATTTTCTAATGCTTGTTATACTATGTTGCGGTATGCATGCAGGTGGTGAATTATTTGCTACGAGGGTGGATCAGGAATCTGGAATCGAAGGGTGCTGTTGCGTTGCCTATGCTCGATGACTCGGAAATGGAAAGCATACAGAGTAGCATCAGCAAGGACATGGAATTTGTGAGGGAAGGATCAAAAAAATCAGTGAAGGTGCGGTTTTTAGGATCCAAATTCTCACTCTGGAACTTGATAAGATCTTACTTTAAATCTGGGTTTGGGTTTGGCAAGCTAGAAACCAAATCAGCATAGCAGATGATGCAAATTTCAGCGTGTTTATAGTGACATGGTTGAATCGATGTATGATTAATTATTTGATATGTGATGATGGTTTGATAAAATCTTACCCCTTGCTCGGCTTGCATGCACAAAACGTGCGTTGAGAACGGCTGTCTGAAGGAACATCTCATTTTCGATACCACTTTCAATCCACAATTATCGCGTTGGAGAAATCGTGGTCTAATCCGACAGTAATTTCGACATGTTCTTCAACTGAACTCACATCATTAATGTTTTCCATTCACACACCTGACACCACCACCATACAAGAACCATGAAAAAAAAGGCTTCATTGTCTTGGTACGTAAAAAAATAATCAAAACGAAAATGAAATTAACGTAAAATGAGAGTTAAGAAGTAGCATGTGAAAACACAGCTAAATGTTATCGAACATGTCAAGTGAAGCATACGCAATCCATGGCATAATTACTGCTTAAAATATCTTGGGATTCCAATTTGGCGGGATTCTTTCTCCATCAAACATTTACCTCCCTTTCCAATCCCTTTTCTCCCCCGATGTTCACCGTCTACTTTTGCCCTTCAAGCCTTCCCAGATCTGTTCATGAAATGATTAAAGTCTCGAGTCTTGAGGTTTGAGGTAATTACTTGCGAAATCTGTCAAAATTTTGATTTCCAGCTTCGCAAGAAATCGCTTCAAGAATCGAGAGTCGGAAAAAAATACATTTTTTTTGATGGGGTACCTTTCTTGCAAAGCAGAATCTGCAGTCTCTGTAATCTCGGCCTCCAAAACCACCCAGAATTCATCTTCGAAAGCCGACACAAACAAGCATGAAAAACCCATCAAGATCCAACAGTTCGATTACTGTGACCTTGAAGCCGCCACCAATGGATTCTCCGACCGAAGACTTCTAGGCAAAGGTAGCCATGGCGCCGTCTACAAGGCTGTTCTCAAGGGACGCCACGTTGCCATCAAGAGACCGTCTTCGAGGAACCAAGAAACCGGTCACGAAACCGATAACGAGATCGAAATCTTGTCGAAGATTCGGAGTCCCAGATTGGTTAATCTCCTTGGCTTCTCTAATGACGCTAGAGATCGATTATTGGTTGTCGAGTTCATGAGTAACGGCACATTATATGATGTTCTTCACTACAATTCTTCAAGGCCTTTGAATTGGGGTCGAAGAATTCGATTGGCTTTGCAAGTTGCCAAAGCCTTAGAGACGCTGCACTCACAAAAGCCTCCGATCATCCATAGAGATGTTAAATCTGCAAACGTGTTAATCGATGGCAATTTCAATGCAAAGTTGGGTGATTTCGGGTTGGCACTCAGGTGTGTTGTCGATGATTATAAGCTTAGATCAACACCACCAGCTGGTACTATGGGGTATATTGATCCATGTTATGTGACACCTGATAATTTGAGTACAAAAACTGATGTTTTCAGCTTTGGGATCTTGTTGTTAGAGATTATAAGTGGTAGAAAAGCTATCGATGTTGCGCATTCGCCGCCTTCCATCAATGACTGGGCGATTCCTCTTGTGAAGAAAGGGAATATTGTTGCTGTTTATGATCGGAGGATTTCACCTCCCAAGGATCCTATAGTTAGGAAGCAGTTGGCCGTCATTGCGGCTAAATGTGTGAGATCCTATAGGGAGCGTCGGCCGACGATGAACGAGGTGGTTGGTTGGTTAACCGGGATAAGCAAGTTGGTTCCTTTGCATACATGGAATGGTTTCAACAATCCTTGTATGATGGTGGAAACTATGGGGCGTCCGGTTGAATCTAGAAACGTTAAAGAGAGTTCGGATGCAGTCGACGGTACATACGCCGCCAAGGACTCTCGCAGAGTCTATTCCGATTTAGGGTTTAGGAGCAACTTGATGGAACTTATGGGCATCACTAGTATTGATGAGGCTGAGGCTGATGCATCCTGTACTCATAGGTTCGATAACAAAAGATATGGTAACCAACCGAGAGGTCAACATAAGAACATCGGAAACGAGAATTCCGTTTTCGGTTTGAGGAGGAATCATTCAGCCGGGGAAGGTCGTGAGCCCTTTTCGGGGGAAGGCGATGTGTTCTCTCGATCATGCTCCACTTCTCAGGCTGTAGGTGACATTTAGTTCATTATGAAAAATGTTTTACATATATGATTGGCAATGGAGAGTAAAACGCGACACTGTATGTGAGGTTTGTTTTGATGATTTCAACCGGTCCACAATTTCAAGGTTGTTTAAAATTATTAATACGTTGGTGTTCATTTTTCAATGCAAATGCTTGATTCGGACAATGCTAGTGTCCATTTTATAGGTTTTTAATCCAAGGCATATATTCATTCATACACGAGTATCCAAAAACTCATCAGTCGAATCTGCTGTTACAAGAATCGAATAATTGCCAGAGTGGTCCTTTTACTTTTCCCGGAATCTTCAACCAAGTAGTGGTCATCTTCAAGGCTTCCAATCTGCAAACGGAAGCAAGGGATTGTTGTGTGAATGAATGCATGATGATGGGTTTTAGTTTTAAAATCCGAAAATAGTACATACTTTGATGAACCTGTTCTTTGTGCATTCCTGAAATAGTCATGATATTATATAATTCTTTTTGCGGAAAAGCAAAAGATCCCTCATCTTCATGGAGGGGAAAAGTAAACAAAAATGTTTCTGCATTTTGAATATGAAAACTGGAAAATTCACCTTACCTACTTTAGAATGGTCGACTCTCACGGGTTTCTTTATCATTTTTTAGTTGCCTATCTGAAGTTGTTCTAAATATTATTCCCTTGTCACCGATCATTACGTTTTCCAAAAAATACATTTTATTATCTTTTTGGAGGAAGGATGAGTATACAGTGTCCACTACTTTAAGCATCCATATGATCACCAGCACAATGAAAATGCGAAGTCAGAAGATGGGTAAAATATCAACTTCCGAAATGTGAATAACACGAAATAGGTGGAGTTGCTGTTGTATTGAATTTTGGCTGTCCGAGAAAGAGATAGTACAGGCACCCAAGTTGGCTACTCGGGTCCATTCTGTTGAGAGTCATCGACCCCTTATTTTTGAGCTGACAATTTTTTTTTTTTTAAAAAAAGACAATCCCAGCATTAAGACAAGTAGAAAACGATGACCCAGAGCAAAAATTGTTTCAAAAGGTGCAGATGTGGAGAGTTGAGAGGGAATGTGTTCTTCTACCAAATATCGAAAGGGCTTTACAGCTCGGGCAGAGTAGCTTTTTCAAGTAGATATCATCAACACTGTTGAATGAGCCCACCTCTGCCTAATTGTTGGGTGAAGTTTTATCGGGGCACTAGAAAGCCAACCATCACAATGGTCCATGGAAAACCAAATGTCTATTCCATTCATAAAAGCGGAATTTGATCTGGGTTATTCTTTTCATATTTTTTTCTTCAATGACTTGCAACTATTTGCAATAATTAGAGGTGGAATATTTGAAACTAGGCACGAACCAATCTATTAAAGTGGTTAAAGAAATCGTTTTTATTTTTAAAGGTCATGTTTCAAGCATTAGCTACTAGTAGTGGTTAAAGGAATCATTTTTATTTTTAAAGGTCATGTTTCAAGCATCAGTTGATTAAACGTTCATTATTAAACAATTACAAATATTTAAAAATATAATACTTTGTAATCACCTTAGCTTAATAAAAAAATACTTGAAATTAGACCCTAATTAATTAATTCCCCATCAAGACCCAAAAAAAAAGTAACTTGTGAGGAATTGGTTTCTTTTTTGTTTCTTCCCAATTTGTGGAAAATGTGAAACACAAACAAAAGGACCACTTTTGAAGACTCGAGAGCTGAGGTTCAAGAATGGTCTTCGTCCCAACGAATTGAATGCTTTTACTTCAAGACAATTCCGAATAAAGCCAAAAGTTTCACCACCGTCACAAATGGATTTATTTTACAGTCAAATATCATAACTGCACCCTGAGTTTCCCTGGAGCATTCTACAGATCAATTCCGAATCCTCGTGAATGATGTACCAGTGGATAATTCTAAAATACAGCTCAAAAAGAAACTGATGATGATGGAATGGACACAAACAATCAACTCAAATCACAAGAGCATCTTATAAAAAAAAACATTCTGTTTCCATATTAATTGATAAAAAAAATGGAAAGCCATATGGTTGTACAGGTAGGTAATAATGGTCCACGCAGAAACCAAACAATGCAACAACAGCATGTCACTCCAATTTGCTCACTAATGGAAATTCTGGTCCAATAAATGGGGGGTGAAAGTGAAAACTAAGGGAGCCAACCCTACTTTCTCAATACTACAAAATGTCTAACGAGAAAACAATCAAAACATTATGTCCTGACAACTATTTCCACTAACTGCTTTGAAAAAGAGAGAAGAAAAAAGAGTATTAATGTGAAAGGCAAGCATTTTAGCAGCAAGCATGTAATGGACCAAAAGAACCAAAATCCTGCAGAGAGAAGCCATTCTTGTGCACATCAAATGATTTATCAGTGCCCAAGTGCGAGACCGCATGAGGAAAGAAAATTAAGGACTTCGGATTCCATCCTCGGGGATTCCGTGCATTGTCATAGCTTATCTTACGTTCTGCCTTGTCTTTATCATCCGCTTCAGAGTTGCAAGCCAAAAGTTGCACTCATCCCACTCACTCGTAGTAAGAAGAACCTGTTTCAGGGAAGAGATAAAAAGTGAACAAAAATTGAAGCACTTGTAGTTGCCGACATCATGAAGAAATCAGAATAAAAATTCATTCCCCACCATACCTGGATTTGCAGAGCTGTACCAAAATCATTGTTGTCCAATGCCTGGCAGAGCTGAATAAGTTTGTCAGAAGCATTTTTTGAAATGTCTCCACCGTTGAGTTTGGCGAATAAGGCACCAATTTTCTTTGAATTGTCTTCTATTTCACGCTTCTTTGCCGGGTTTGCACGGGCACCTTCCAGTGCTTGGGATGTCTCATTAAAAAGTCTAGTTATGGTAGTGATTACAGGTTTTTGGTGAGCTGAGAGTAGCAAACAAGGTAAAGTCGTTCCCAAAAGTATTTATATCAGCACATACAAATATATATATATATATATATATTCATTTGCTGGCTTGCTGACATCCTTGAACAGATTTGATTGATTTGGGGAGTTCAAAGCCACAGATTAGAGTGGACTATGCAAAAACATGAGGAATAACTATGCAAAGAATATAAAAGAAATTCACAGTTACAATTTTGTGACAATCTATTATATTTCGTAAACATTCTACTAAGGGGTAACAAATTAAAGATAAATATTACTTGTTTTTTTGGATAGTAAAGCACTCGTTCTGGAGTAATTACCAGGTACATTTGATGTATCAGCGGTCTGCACTGTTGGAGCAGCTGCAGGTGCTGCAGCTGGTTGTGTAGGTGCTGGCTGTGCACTGCTGGCTGGTTGCATTGGGCCCATACCAGGTCTTTGAACAGGTGTGTTAGTAACTGGCATAAATCCCCTAGGTGCTGGGTGGGAGCTACAACGTGTGGCATTTTGGGCCAGGACCCGATCCCATTGGTGATGGGACAGGTGTGAATGAACCAGCCCCAGGGGGAGCAGGATAAGTAGGATCAGCAGCACCCTGAAAGCCATGCAAAAGAAATTCAGTATACCAGTACTGAAATAATAACTATGGTATTGACCATAAATTATATGTAAAGATACACACAGGATATAACTGAGAACCCAAGGTAGTTGGCTGTTGGTATTGATCTGCATTTCTTAGAACAGGAGGGTTTGAAGGAACAAATGGCCTAACAGTAGGCTGCGTGGTCTCAGGTGGAGAAGAAAATGTTGTCTGGAAGAACAATAAACTTTTAGTCAAGCATCAAGCTGTATATACTAAATTCAAAAAAAAATCAAGCATTAAGATAAAATAAAAGCTAGAAATAGCTACTAAGCCAGAGTCCAGAGATATAGTGCTCATTTTGAATAGAAAAGAGCATTTTCAATGCAATAGCTAATCTTCTTTCTGTAAATACTCAAGTCATTTCTTCAAAACAGAATATGCAAAATATCAAATCCAAACAAACATATGATGCTGGTTTGGTTCAGATTTTTTATTTTTCCAGTTTTATCCTAAACTAGAGGATCTCAGAGAAAACCAGACTTTAGACATTGGCAATAAAAGCAGTTTCTCGGTAGAAAAACTATCAAGTCAATCAAGATCAAAAGCATTTAGCTGGAAACATTTGCAAACATATAATTGTCCAACGCTAGTTTTAGCCTGGCCTTGCTGTCCTAATTAAATCCAATCTTTCAGTCAAACAACCTCTACTTCTTAGGCAACTACTACCTGAGAATACATCCAAATGGATGGTATGATTCATAGAAAGTGAATGAACATATCCATTAAGCTAATCTGTAACTAAGTGCTGAGATAGCATTCCAGGTCAAAAGTAAAACCAGAAGAAAACAAAAAATATTATTACAACTAAGTCACTGGTTAGAGTCAGCCATCAAATAGAGTTCTGTGCACAAAACGAAATCAAATACAGTATACCTGAGAAATATGAGGAGCTTGGGTTGGAACAAACATGTTGGCAGGCGGTGCTTGAGGCATATACGAGGGAGGAGCATATCCTCCATATGGAGAAAAAGAACGCTGATAACTTTCATTATAAGCACTACCAGGAACACTAGGCTGAATTTGCGAAGCAGCTGAATCCTAAGCAATGATGAAAAGCAACCCCCAAAAAAGCCATCGACAGTATCAGAACAGATTATCAAGGAGTACTCAATCAAAAACAGACCATATTAAAGAAAAGTGCAAGATAAAGCACCGGATATAAATGTTGTGAAGGCTCAAAGGCTGGTCCACCTGTTGGACGAGAGTTCTCAAAAAAAGCAGTTTTAGTTTCTTCCACTGCAAGATAAAAATAGATATCTTCAACAATAATATATTAATGGACACAAAACTTGGCTCACATCAGTAAGCTAATTTCATGTCTTAAAAACATTGCTAGTCAGTAGTCATGAGAAAACGAGTAAAATAGAACGAAAGAACCTTGGACACCAGAAACATGCATCTAATAGCGACTTAATCTAGAGCATCAATGCTTAGCACTCAATAATTTTCTACCAAGTCAACATATTTTGACATGTCACTAGCACAAGCATTTTCACGAGTTATTTGAATAAAATAAATTAGCATGAGTAGATCAAAAACCCATATGCAAAACCATTAAAGCATAAACCATTGTCCTTCATCTAAAGCACATACCATGTTCAGTAGAAAGTGCTATACGATCTTTTAAGATCACTAGTTCGGGTGACAGTTCATCAGAACCCAATAATTCTAAGTATCCCATTGCTGTTGTTAAAAGTCCTTGACTTGCCAAAATTTCAGCATATTTCTCAACGAGCTTGCACAGGGATGCACTAAATCGCTTCTGGCCAGTTGCCAATGCAAGGACAATGGCCTTTTCCATCAAATCCTAGAAGACAATCATCAATTGTCAGATTTCTTCCCAGATTGTTGTTTTCTAGACATTGCTAACTTACCTGGAGAAGATCGACATAAGATTTCCCATCATGTGCAGTTGACAGGCGCCTTGACCAAATCTCTATTGTCTTATCAATATTTCCTGCACACATGTAACAGAAAGTTGCTGCCAGAGTATTCCCATTGACCATTAGTTTTGAAGCAAGCGTATCACAGAGTACAGTCCACTCCTCTCTCTGTGCAAACTGCTCATCGAATATGATTAATAAGTCCGTAATAATAGCAATAACAAGTTATATCATATGTTAATAAAGCACTATACATCATCTAAAATAGAAACTTACTGTACAGAGGAGCGCTAATGTTTCTTTCCAGAATTTCGAAGGCCTGGTGTTGACAAGGCTCATAAGATCATTGTTCACCATTGCAGAGACAACCTAAAGCAGCAGAGTTAACATGATTTCCAAACATACAAAAAAAAGAAAAGCAAATTCGCAGCCAATGTAAAATATAACTCAATAAATGATTAGAACCAGAATTCCTATTTATACAAAGATACATATGATTAAACCATTCACTGCCAAGTAAATATAAAAAGTTAGTTCACCTTCACGTATGGTGAATGGCTCATCTTAAGATACTGATCACGTGTGCTCTCCCATAAGGAGGGACCACCAACATGAGCAATAACTAACGCATCAGCCATTTTATTTGAAGCAATGCAGTAAGAAACTGCTCCCTTATAGTCACCCATCACCAACGCACGTTGTACAGCATCATCAAATGATGGATCTGAGCTTTCCTCCAGTCCGTCTGATTCTTGAGGTATTAAATCTGTGCTAGAAACTGTGCTCTCAACAGCAAAATTATTTTCAGAAGTTGAAACGGGGGTATCAGCTTTGGGACTTGGAAGATTGTTGAAGAAATCTTCCCCATTATCCACTGCAAATGGGGCAGCCTCTTTCTCACCCTCATAGCCCGCCTTGTCTGCCACTTTATCCTCAAGTGTAACATCATTTACAGACTTAGAGAGGTCATCTTTTACAGTATCCTTTTCTTCAGGTGGATTAAAACCAAGATGCATGAGCAACTTTGTCCTGGCTGTCCCATCATCTTCAAACATCACCTTCAAGAAGCCCCAAGTTTCTCGATCATCAGCAGATCTGTATAGAATTCCAAATGAACCACCAAAAGTATTAACTGGTAGAAGCAACAAATTGTTTGACAAAAGAAGAGAACAAAATAACTACAATTCAGATGACATACTCAGACTCTTGAGCTTTCTTTTCGCATAAAACCCTTAATGAAGATCTCTCCGCATTCTGTATCACTGATTCAAATTCAGATGAAGGGCTGACCAGACTTCCTTCAGCATCTAAGTTATGCAAAAACACCTGAAAATAACATATAGGACAATAAATTCCAAAAAAGATGTCAGTACTCGGTGGCATTTAAATATAATATTTTTTTTTTTGGGGGGGGGGGAGGGGAATATTTACCTCAGATGACGCAGGACTACCTAAACCAGATAAGCCGAGGGCGAAATGATACAACTTTTCCTCCAAAACCAAAAGATGCCCCAACAGGACGTTTATACCATTTTGGAGCTCTCAAAGACACTGCAAAAAAGGAAATACCAATGAAAATATATATTCATATTATCTTAGAAACAGAAGTTGTGTTAACAGAGATCAAGAATAATGACTAGAGAGCAGAGTAGACTCATATCCACCAATCTTCCCTACTTATATTGGCAGTCACCCATTTGTTTCTCCTTGACTACCAAAGCTTAATGGAGTAAGGTCAAATATTGATAAAGATGCAATATATACAATCATACATGGAGAACAAACCAGAATCAAATTGAAGGCTGCCAAACAGTTCAAACCAACTCGGCAGTCAAAAATAAAAATATCAGAAATAAAAAAATGAATTACCTGGACCAAAATCGCCCTCCCCAACACCATATCGGCTACAACCCTGCAGACCCAAAAGTGTTAAATCTAGGGTTCAAGGTGGAAAGAGGTCTGAGAGGCATAATTGTTGGTACTGGACAAGTACTGTTTTCTAAAAAAATACCATCAAGAACAATAAGCTTAAAAGAATTTGCCACCTTAAATTACAAAAGAACTAGTCCCAATAAGATACATAACATGCCATCCCTAAACACGTGTATGATAATGACAAGCAAATTGCAGTTGATGTGTCATACAAATGTCCAACTGCTAAGAAATCTTGTTCAACAAAAAAGGTAATTATGATAGAAAAGATAACTTAAACAAGGTCACACCTCAATATTGTAAATGCCAATTTTTCCGTCAAATGATGATGCTGATATTATTCCCGGTATCTTTGGATACCAGTGCACATCAAAGTTCCAGTTGGTACTGGCAGGCAATTCACAGACAACCTATTATCCAAAAGAAAAAAAAATCACAATTCAGAACATTCTTGTCTGATAAAAGAACCGAAAGATCTTCAGAAGAAAAGCCTAAAGCACATATCAACAATTAGCTCATTCACCCACCTCCCCAGTAGCTGTATCCCAACAAATAGTCCGATTGTCTTTGGCACATGTGAGTAAATAAGAGCTGTCAGAGGGACACCATGCCATTGCAATTACACCTGGAACCAAAAATAAAACAATTCCTATTTAACTGCAGACCACAAAAGAGCTAGAAATTAATGCATAAATAGAATAGGGAGATGGATAACTATAAAAAAAATGCATATACAAGCAAATAGACAATATCCTAATTTATCATGGATCATCCAACTACGAAACCTATTCAGTCTTAATATAATTATCAGTCAAACTTTAGGAAGCTAATTACGTACATTTCATATTCTATGGCCAGCAAGCAGCTTAAAAGAAAACAGATAATAAAAAAAATTAGCCCTTCCATTGTAATTGCAATTCTAATTGAAAAAAAAAATAGGTAACTGCTTTTAAAATTCAAGAGAGTGTGAAAAGCAAAATAGAAAATACTCAATAGCATAATTCTTGTATCAAACACAGAAACAAACATCGTAAGCAAAGAAGGTAACAATATCACCAAGTTTAAAACAATGCACTAACTTGTCAAGCACCATTACCTTTTGTGTGCCCTACAAACTCCTTCACTGGTGACATAATATTCCGCATGTCCCAAAGCTGTTTGCAAAAATGCCATAAATTAACAAAATTCCCAACAAATAGGAATCCTCAACAGAAGCAATACCATAAACAAGACCATTACCCTAAGAGCTGGAAAGCCATCTTCATCAGATGCAACAACAAGTTGAGTGGCAACATCAGGATGCCACTGCAAAACAGAACATCGTCTTCTTATGGAATCTGCAAAACTGTAATTAAAAAGGGGAAAAACAGATTAGGTCAAACGATGTGCCATGTCAAAACAGAAGATTTGCTTGGTAGAACATGAAATTTACCTTATCACTGGTTTTTGCTTCTTCAAGTCCCAAACAACTGGAAAGATAAAACAATAAATATTATCTTCCTGGATAAGGCTTAAATAACAAGACAAAAAATCTCTTGTTCATTCATTTACTCACCGGTTGTTCCATTATATGAAGTTGATGCCAATATATGCTGAACCTTGCTATTCCAAGAAAGAAATGAGATTTCACC